GATTTATTATATGAATTCCCCAAATTGAGAAGTGGTATTGCTCCAGGTTAGCTGTGTGAACTCCCCAAATGACAACTGGTATCAGGTTAGCTGTGTGAACTCCCCCAAATGAGAAGTGATATTGCTCCAGGTTAGAGGTGTGAACTCCCCTCACAAGAAGTAGTATTGTTTCAGGTTACCTATGTGAACTCCCCAAATGAGAGGCGGTATTGCTCCAGGTTACTTTGTGAACTCCTATGCAGGACGGAGGGCCTGACAAGGAAAGCTGTCTAGTCGTTCGGATGGGACGAAAAACCGAGGTCCCGTGTACACATTGGCGTGCACGTAAAAGATCCCTTGGCAGTTGGAATTCGATATAAGAGTAGGCCGTAGTGCCGCTGTCCGGGCAAAATTTCCCTCATAGCACACTGTATGGCGTATGCCCGTCTTCATTAGCCCAGGTTAGGAGCAGAACAGTAGGACGTTAAACCCCATTTCATTTCATTTCATTTTGTGAACTCCTGAAATGAGAAGAACCTCTTCTGAAGAGATATTGGTTCTATAAAGTGTATGCGTGCAGTCGTTGGTGGTTGGGTGGCTTAATGTCTGTTCTCAAACGGGGCTAACTGTAGACAGGTAGCCTAAGTTTCGTATGTCTCTCCATCTCTCCCTTAACGTTACTTTCGACAATTGTACATGCTAGTATTACACATAGTTTTATTTATAAACCAACCTAACACATACCGGTACTTTTAAAAATTTATAGCTCTACACCCCGATTTGTTCTTATTTTCGCCATAATGTCTTTCAGAAGATTTCTTTTTTTGAATAAAAGATAAATTAATCACATTCCAGAGATTAATCTCAAATTTTATCACCACCTTATCTCTATTTTTAGTTTATATAAAGGGTGAATGCAGGCTATTATTACCACGGGTACTTGAAGGGATTAAAATAAAACTTCTTACTACATCAAGTGACTGTGTCTATTACAACAGTGAAACAGCGAACGTGACGTTATAAAAAAGATCAACTCGTATACAGAGAACGACAAGTTCGGTGGTTAAACGAGGTGGCGCCATTCTTTTGACCACATTTAAATCCTCTTACATCTTTCTTTACATATTTGCTTTGATCCTAAAAAAAATGAAAATGAAATGTGGTTTTACGTCCTACTGTTCTGCTCCTACTGGGCAACGGAGGGCCTGACAAGGACAGCTGCCTAGTCGTTCGGATGGGACGAAAAACCGAGATCCCGTGTACACATTGGCGTGCACGTAAAAGATCCCTTGGCAGTTGGAATTCGATATAAGAGTAGGCCGTAGCGCCGCTGCCCGGGCAAAATTTCCCTCATAGCACACTGTATGGCGTATGCCCGTCTTCAATTAGCCCAGGTTAGGTGCAGAAGAGTAGGACGTTAAACCCCATTTCATTTCATTTCCTACTGGGCAAATGGTCATACAGTGTGCTAAGGCCTGCTCTTTATTTCGAATTCCAACTGTCAAGGGCTCTTTTACGTACACATCAATTTTGCCGGGACAGCGGCACTACGGCCTACACTTATATCGAATTTCAATTTTCAACGGATCTTTTACATGCACTCCAATGTGTACACGGGACCTCAATTGTTTGTACCATCCAAATGACTATACGTTGCCCTTTGCCAGTCCCCCGACCCTGCACCACTGACAAAAGGGAAACACGCAGGAAAATTCCGATGAATTTTCTCCTTATCTCCAACACACTGAGCCACCGCGGTTCCCTGATCCTAAAAGATGTGTAAGGTTTTCTTCAAAAAAGCAAATTTGTAAAATTTGACCGAGTTGTTTTTTCTTTAAAACTGTAAAGGGGATTGGTACGGGCCTAGCAATTAACCATGCGTAATCGTTTGGATTTTGCACAAAAAAAGAGGTCCTGCAGAATGGCGGGCTGTTAGCTTAAGCATATTTTATTATATTAATAAAAATAACTTGGGATACAATTGGATTGGAGGAAAGTATTGAAAAACTTACAAACGTCCTTTCCAAACGCTGTTAGTTCCCTTTAATAGTAAGTGCAGGAGGACCGCACTACATGCAAAACAAAATCTAGAAGATAAATCTGCGGACAAGACAGAATAAAGACATTGCAAAAAAAACAACAAATATCAAATCAAGTGAAAGGATCCGGGAGCCAGCCGTAAGCGTCCACTGCGCTGAACAGTTCCTGGGGCGGTATTTATAAAAATTCTAAGAGTTGGAACCAACTCTTAACTGTCAAAAATTACTCCTAACTTTGTAGATTTTCCTAAGACCTATTTATAAAACATTTTACTTTAAGAATTACTCCTAACTATGACACATATTTAGGAGTCCTCCTGTAGCACTCCTAACTTGTTAAAAGTACTCTTATCTTGGTTAACATGGCCGTCCGTGTACGCCGCCTAAGAGAGTTTAAAACAAGAAGAGATTTCTTAGTGGAGTACAACAATGACGAGTTGATAAGGAGATATCGAATGGACATGGGTGGGATTCTTTTTGTGACAGATTTAGTTCGGCATCTACTTACGAGTCCTACTAAACGAAATTTCTCAATCGACGCTGAGATGAAGATCGCCATTACGCTTCGTTTCCTAGCTACTGGTAAAATGCAACTGTGTAGTGGTGACGATTTCGGCGTCAGTCAACCTACAGTGAGTAGAGTGATTGCATGACATCAACACTGAGCTATAAATAACTTCAGGGAATCCCCGGATTTCCCATGGTTACATCGCTAAGAGTTTGGTTAGGACCCAAATCTTACATTTAGTTAAAAATAACTCTAAGACCCTTTATAAATATTTCTAAAGAGTAACTTTTAACTTAATGTTGTTTTAGGAAGTCTTAGAGTAAAAGTTATGAAAATTCTAAGAATTTTTATAAATACGGCCCCAGGTCTGTAATGATACAGGTTTCACTCAAAATTAAGAAAAAGAGAGAGAGAGAAATGGGGTTTAACGTCCACTCGACACAAACTAGGTCATTTCGGGAATAACATATGGTTTAATTTTATTTCAATAATTCGCTTGCGCGTAGGGGTCTTTAGCAGTGGGAGGAAACCGGAGGACCCGGAGAAAACCCACGAGATTGGACAGGCGACCTTATTCCTTGTCACGTACAACCGGGGATTCGAAACCACGCCAGTTGACTCAATGACAGGTCTTATGATACAGCGCGCACGTGCTAACCATTCGGCCATCCAACCCCCCAAATTAAGAACAGAATCACCCAAAAACAACAATTTACAATGGCCACCGATCTTGACAGTGGTCGTCTCTTCAATGGCGTTAAAATACGGATGTGACGTCATCCTTTGATGTTTGCGTACCATTATTTCCAATAATGTACGGGCAACTTGCCAATCGTACATTATCTATACTAGATGAAATATTGGACCCGCGTGACGTATTTCACTGAAAAGCACATGCGGGATAGTGTCTGTATTTTAAGTTGTTTAATGGTCTCGAGCTAAAGCCATTGCGTAATATATTGAAACACTCGGCTAACGCCTCGTGCAGTATCAATATATTACTTAATGTCTGGCTCTCGACCATTAAACCATACTTAGGGCGATAATCCGGATAGAATCTCGGAAAAAGCTAAAATGTAGGACTGGTAAAACTGTTACTCATGTTTAGGGTTAGCTTGATATTTCATGATAACTAATTCGTTTTTATAGCCCGATAATCATGGACGTAGAGATATAAGCTCTACGGTTTTCACAGCTTCTCTGCGATATATCCTACTATGTCGATACCACTCACATGTCCATTTTAAAGTAACCATACCTGCCGTGCCCCGAAAAACAATGTCAAGATGCATTATGCAAGATTTAGATAACGAGTTGTCCGTTCTTGCTATGCATAATTCAAAATGGATATAATATGGAAAATTTCTTCAAATGACTTTATTCTTAACGATGTTATCACAGTTTGTAGTTTTGACAGTGTGTGCATTGGCTGTTTATTACCGTAACAGTAACAACGGTACTTGTTATTCGAGACTTGGCCTCGGTTCGCCATTTTTAAATTAAATTATTAAACGTTCTAATCTACTTAAAATCTCCATGCGATGACCTAGAGAGATGATTATAGGCTTTTCATGTTAATGTTTAAATAAGTTTATATAACATTTGAAACCAAACGAAAGATGTGCAACAGACAGATTTAGCTCTGTAATACCATATATATGAACATGGCATTTTCCATTCGAAAATTGGAGCTATTGTGGCCCAGTGATTCAGGTGCTTGCTCACTAACAAAGATGACTGAATTTTAACAAAGAAAGTTCCATGTAATTTTCAAGTCCGGATTCCCCTTGTCAGTGGCCCATGGCAAGGAATAGTGTCTTGTCGTTCGGATGGGACGAAAACGCCGCTGTCCCGGCAGAATGTTTCTTATGTCGTATGCCTATCTTACCTGGAGCATGAGAAGAAACACAGTATCAATTTTACACGTCGTTAGTCAGGTTGCTGCATGGAAAGGGAAGGGAGACAACTCCATCAAATGAAGTGTTTTCAGACCAGTAATCCTCTCTGCACATTAGATTTCAGTGTTAATTAAATCCATTTTTATTACAACCACAAAGACCCAAACAAGTCACAATCATATGGAGGCTGTTATCATCTCGATTTTGTATGCTATGCCCAATCAAAGGAATCTAAAGGTTTTGTTATTTTTGTATGTAATTTCCCAAATTCATTCTATTAACTTCCAGATCCTTCACCTCAAAATCCCAAGTAGTCACCAAAACCCTGCAGAAATTGTAAATTCACTCTTATTCAATTCCAGACTAACGTCAACAAAAATGCCATGCAAAAAGCGAGATAGAGAGAATTGCTATAGAAATGTACTACAAATCGTAGGTATGGAGAGAGGGGAAATAATTATTAGTCTGAGTCCAACTTGGTTTTCTTATTTTTGACAATGAAATGAACAGTAGTTGCTGACCATATAAAAACTGGATCTTTACAGTATATAATGTAAAATTAATTATAACAAAAAATCCAGTTTAGATAGTCATTTTAATAAACGGTCTATTTCACCCTGGTAATATACAAGGTTTGTATGTATTGTTTTAATGTCTAAATATATCTTAACAAAAACTAGATAATTTTCATTTCTAACTCTGTGGTATACCAGCTTCTTTCGCTAAAGTCTGCATCTCAGCTGAAATGTAAAAAGGATGATTGACGATAACAGATATTGAGATCGTTAATTTATAGTTCAAAATTTCGTTTTATTTGTCTTCACAACACTAGGATCTGGAAGAGTTGTTATATAAGTGAGGGATTAGCGAATGAAACAGTCTGTTACCGCAAGTTTTTGTCGTGCGATGCACGAACTGTGGGTAAATCCCTAGAAACGTCAATACTGATTGATTAATCAATATCTTACATCACAGGGTCAAAAGACGCTTGTATAACCCCTGATGCGACCTTCCACTACAACTGGTCAGATCTTTATGTAGTGTAGGCCATCGAAAGTATCAAATCTATCATGGGTGATGGTTGCGTATCATAGCTATAATTACAATGTGTGCAGTCAGCTTTGTTCCTATTGAAAGCTACCATGGGTGATCATGCCGTATTATAGCTAAAAGTACAGTGTGTTATGTCAACTTTATTCCTAGCTAAAATCACAGCGTGTGAAGTCGGCTTTATTCCTATCAAGGCTATCATAAATAATCGCGTTATTCCTTTCAACGGCTATCATAATGGTGGCCTATCACAACATATCACAGTGTGTGGGGTCGACTTTATTCCTATCAAAGGCTATCATAGATAATCGTGGTGTATCATAGCTAAAATCACATGTGTGTGATGCAGATTTTACCCTACATCAACAATACTGATCCATACCTAATGTATCTCGCTCTCTTTCTCTCTTTAATCTGGCATCTCGTCGGGCACGGATTTCATTCTCATGTTTCTGAATGTCTACTTCTTTCGCTGTTAGGGATCCTGTAATTAACAGATACAAAAGATTTATTGAAATGAAACGAGGGTTAACATCCTTCTTTTCTACTCCAACTGGGCTAATGAAAATGGGGCATACGCCAAACAGTGTGATATGCGGGCAATTTTGCCCGGACAGTAGCACTACGGCCTACTCTTACATCGAATTCCACCTGCCAATGGATCTTTTACGTGCACGCCAATGTTTACACCGGACCTCAGTTTTTTGTCCTATCCAAACGACTAGATAGCTGTCCTTGTCGGGCATATGCCATGCAGAGATCTATGAGGGGAAATTTTGCTAGGACAGCACTCACAGCAGCGTTACAACCTATTCTAACTTTAAATTCAAACTATCAAGGGTTCTTTTACTATTTCCTTTCGTTTTTATTGGTTCAAAATTTCGTTTTACTTGTCTTTACTACACTAGGATCTGGAAGAGTTGTTATATGACCATTATTTTGGTTGATGTGAGGGATTAGCCAATGAAACGGTCTGTTACAGCGAGTTCTTGGAGTACGGTGCACAGGACTGTGGGTATCCCTCTAGAAACATCAACACTGATTGGTTAATCAAATGTCAGACGTCATAGGGTCAAAAGCCGCTTGTATGACCACTGACATGACCTTCCTCTACAACCAGTCATATCTTCATTTAGTGGAAGCCATCGAAAGTATCAAATAACGAAACGAAATATTGATCTATATCTTAATCAGATTGGTGTTACCTATGACAAATAGGAACTAGGGTAGGATAATAATATTCTATCAATAAATGAATAAATTTCTCACGTAATCTTGAGGCCCCATATATAACACCAGAAATTAGAGCTGTCCATCTACCAAACTGAAATAAACAACAGAAAATAATTAAAGTTAAAATAGATTCCTAGAATCTATTAACAACAACTCAACTGTGTTTGTACATTCACAGATATAAGCTACATCTGCCTTGGATTATCATCCATAAATCCTCACAAAGAGAGAGAGAGAGAGAGAGAGAGAGAGTGAGAGAGATGGGGTTTTACTCCACTGATACAAATTAGGTCATTTCCAGACTAACACATGGTTTAACTTTATTTCAATTAATTCACTTGTGCGCAGGGGTCTTTAGCAGTGGGGGGAAACTGGAGGGTCCGGAGAAAACCCACGAGGTTGAAAAGGCGACCCTTCTCCTTGTCGCGTACAACCGGGGAATCGAAACCACACCCATTGACTCAATGACAGACCTTATGATACAACACACACAAGCTAACCATTCGGCCATCCATGTACATGTATGACATAATTTATTTAAGTAGGCTATATTTATGAACAAAAATGAATTGTATATTGATGTATGTCAGTGTCAGTTGGTTATTGTGACAGCTAATTTCATCGAGAAATATTGTTTGGAACAGGTGGGGGGTATTTTATTTACCGAATATTTCAAAGCAGGGTTCAGTGTTGGCATGTTAAAAAACATTGTGTTCAAAACATAAAGTTTTAATTGTCTAAAATACTTGGAAAAAAACCTCACCAAAAACATAATTTTGTTTTTTCCATCATTTGTAATCGGAGAAGTGCAAAAATACCAGTACGGTAACCTATGTTCTATGTTTTAACCAATCACACATATTGGAATAAAAAATAAAAAAAATGCTAGAACTATACAAAGAACTAGAGAGACATCTCTACAACCAGGGCTGTCGGTAATTTTTCACGGTTGATTAGCAGCACTGCTAATCAAAAAGTCCAATTTTGCCAAATTTGATTAGCAAATTTAAAAATTGATTAGCAGTTTTTCAGTTTCAACATAAAACACCTAAATAACAAGATATTACTTTAGTTCATAACAAATATGATTAGATTCCATTCTTACTAATCTTAGTTTTTTTTAGGACTGCCACAAGTACTTGTGACAGTTTGTGAATGTGATGTAGACATTTAGTTAGGTCTTATGTCTGAAGCCAATTCTTAACAGTGACTTCCGAAGCCCCAATCATTTTAATTGTTATTTTTTGTACGTTAGAAATCTTCGTTAGAAAACAATTTCGTCTGCTTTTTATCGTGTATTGCTTTTCTTGTTCAATCGGGCGCACCTCGATTGACTAGACACACGTGATATTTTACGGGAATTTTTACTTTGATTTATCATTTTACAATACGTTAACATTTATTTTTTTATATTTTATTTACAATACGTAGAGGATACACTGGATTTATTTCTTTCAAAATATCATATAATTACTTGATGTCTCGCAACGTGAGTGGTACTACTTGATTCCCTGTTTCCGGTTTAATAGTCCCTATTCATAGAGTTATGTCCCTGTATTATACAGTACCGTATAATGAATTGTGTCTGGGTAGTTCGAGAAGAAAATGTCACACGGAGAATTCAGTTTTGTTTATAAAATTTTATTCAACATTTTATACTCGTTGAAATTGTTGAGAAAGCTTTCTAGTCTTCAAATGTGGATTATCCTTGTGTCAATATCCAAAATGACAGGCATATTAATGATTCGCAGTTACTGCGAATCAAAAACTTTAGATTTTAATTTTTGATTAGCAACGGACAAAATTTGTATCGCAAATTGCGCTGCGATACTGGTTGTCGGCAGCCCTGTCTACAACATTGTAATCATAATTTAAAAGGGACAATCTCTGTTGTAATTTGTGCCGGATTTAAACACAATTACAGAGAACAGTTGGTTCAGCGAAGACTTATTTATATAGTACCAAATTTTAAATAAGTTTCTTACCCCCCACAAAAAAGAAAAAAGTGTTATTTCTAACCCTGGAAGTGTGGCAATGAGACAAATATGTCTCCGAAAACTAAATCGGGTTAGATTAGTAGAAAATGAATACCGGTACCGTAGAAAACCAATGACAATGAAAATATAACCGGCCATTGTTTGAGCTGACCTTGTGGCATGTTGTTCACCGCCGCTTTAGGAATGTGCATGCCTTTTATTAGCTTTAAAAAATGGATGATACTTTGATTATGAAATGATTTAACCGATTCGAGTGTGCATTGATAATGATTTTATCAACCAAATGAATGACCTTCACTTCACTCTGAGGAAATGTGCAATTTTTACGAACCCGATTCAAGCAGTAATTTTACTCGGTTCTCATTTTAGCAAGAATTTTTTTGCCACCAATTATCGAAACTAGTTTATAACCACCAGAATTGAATGCTTTCAATTGTCAAAGTGGGTTAAATCTTACCCTAATGAGTGGAGAAATTTGTTTAGGTGCTGGTAAAGACATGTTGAGGCCAATGGAGATTGGTTACTGTCAAATTTACAACCGACGATGAAACGAAACGCAAATTTTACTGTCCGGATTCAGACCACAATAATATCAGCATGGACAGGTCAGACTGAAGCAATGGTGGTTCAGTGTGTAAGGCGCGGGCTCAATAGCCAGAAGGACCAGGGTTCGGTTACCCAGTTTTTTCAAGGACGGAGGTTGGCCTGTGTACACAATGGTATCATTTGGACTTATATTTACATGACAAGCCCATAATCAACTCTCTACACCATCGGGTGGCTGTGATATTAATTGGATAAGAACAACACAAGCGCTAATATGGAAAACCGAGACTTCCTTTATTATCGTAGTAATGACAATCGAGACTGTGCTACTTGTCAAAACTTCCATAATATATAACTTCGCTCTGAATAAAGTAATTTAATTGAAATTTTCAATATTCATTATTCATCATCTATTTTTGAACTATTATGGTAATAACGATCAGCCCTTTATCTAGATCTTACATAATGCATCTTTAACAATAGTTATAACATTGTGCTTCAGGGTACGCAGAACTGTAAATCCTAAACAAAGTCGATAATCTCCAGACAATGGAACAAAGAAAACATTTTCTGTCTCAGAATAAAAAACAGGAAATATCAATGAATCTCATCGTTCATGGGACTCCCGTATGTGTGGGAGATTAACGTTCACTCATTGTGTGACTAACATCTGGTAAAATTATACATGTATTTCAAGAATGCATTTGCGCGTAGGTGTCAGTTAGCAGTGGGGAAAAACAGAGGACCTCGGAGAATTGTGTGGGGCTGGGAGACGGGGTAATTAAGGATGCTATAATTAATAGTTTTGATATCTAATCAGACCTATATAATATATTAAACGATTAACACCCCCCCCCCATCCGGTAATTTGTATAGCTACGAGAACGTAGCTAAAAACATACACATCAAAGTATATCTCAACACATCCACACACGGGCGTGGTGGCCCATGATTTTGCATGGGGGAACAAGATCCCGTCCGTGTAATAATCCGCGGGCTGTGTCGACATGCTAGAGTCAATTTGTAGAATATCTGACCCACGATACTGGTTGGGCATTGTGCGATTATAATTATAATGTTGAAAACCACAATGAAACCGCGTGATTTTTTGCCATTTGCGAGGGGCGCAAAACCTCAAGGGGGCGCACAAACTCAAAACCATGACGCAAAGCCCCTGCATCCACAGTATATCTCAACGTTTTTAGCTGCGATTCTATGCCTTTAGTTTCACCTGGCAAACTTAATTTCTCTATTAATGCCAGGCCCGGTGGGATGGGTGGGACCGCAAGTGCTCCTTTCTCCAAGTTATTGCACGCATGTAATTATGCGGTTAGATACCCCGAAGCCTGATTTTAATATATAAGTGTGACTTCTAGAATGTAGACTTTCAGAGAAGCAAACCTAGTTACTTTAGTAAAGAAAACCCTGCTAATATGCTCTATTCTGATCCCTTGGGTGAGAGATCCCCCAGTTGCGAGGGGCACGATTAGTTAAAGATACATTATGGGAGATTAGATAAAGAGTTGAATGTTATCGCTATAAAAGTTAAAGAATAGATAACGTAAATAAAATATGTTGAAAGATATTAGCTTTGAATTTTAAGCCTACTCTATCATCATTACGATTATCCATTTTTGGATTTAATTATCAATGAGCGTTGAGCAGCAGATCGGATTTAAATCCAGTGAAAATCCGACACATAAGATGACATTGTGAGTTGATTATGGTTAGGGTAAGTTAAGTAATGTCTAATTAATAGGCCTAAAGAAAGGCCTACAATAGGCAGATTTAGCTCTTGCATAATGCATGTTTAACTGATCAGTAGATCTTTATTTGAACCCCATCTCACTTCCGTTGTATCTATGGCAGATAAGATAGAGTTTTTATCATACTCTTTCCTTGTCGCCCCTTATCCATCAAATAAATCACTGCTATCAATCACGTATTGTTTAATGGGCAAGAGCGAGACATTAAGTAATATAATTATTGTAACAATAATAGGTCCGAATGTTTATACAATGTCTTCAGCTCGAGAACATTGAACGACTTAAAATACAGACACCCCGCACGTGCTTTTACAGTGAAATACGTCACGCGAGTCCAATATTTCACTAGTATAAATAATGCACGAAATAATGGTACGCCAACATCAAAGGGTGGCGTCACATCTGTATTTTAAAACCGGTTAAAACAAGCCAAGCGCTTGCCATGCAAGATACGCCCATATTTTGCAAGAAATGTATGGAGAAGAGGTAAAATTAATAGGGCTCATCCTCCCATTCAAGATCTTTTGGCTCTTATTTGTTAAGTTTCCTCAGAATGAGCCTCTGTGCGGGGGGGGGGGGGGGCTACAAAATTCATACATATTTCACATTTTGCGTAAAAAGCAGGGACTATAGCTCTTGAATGTAAGGTTTGTGTACCAAAGTCGAACCGATCCAATAACTTTTGAACCTGAACACATAGTTTAAGTTTCATCTCATGAATCGGGCAAAAGTTGTTCCCACTGGAAGGTCCACAAACTCACTGCTGAGTAATTTTAATAGCCGGAAACCGCTCAGAAAGCAGGTCTGACGATCTAAACCCTTGTCTAAAGTCCTGGGATGGTAGCCCCCATCCCTACCCGGCCATCCCAACCAAGAATTGCACGTAACATCTTAAAGATAAGATCATTTTATACTATTAGTATTAATTAAACACATCCGATCCATTGGAATTAAACAACTTTCGTTTATAAGCAAATATTGTCAGTAAAGTTAATCGAGCGGTGTTTTTATCAAAATTTATATGTACATTGATAATTACGGTGCATTAGTAATGTTCGTACTTCTGTTGACTGGCTGTTTGTTCACGGCATATATTTAGCCCCGCCTTCATGTCATGTCTTTATGACGTAAAGACGTCAAACCTATTCCGTTTTAAAATGTCCGGTAAAAACAGCTATTAAGCTACTATCGCTTCGATTTAAAAAAGATGGGTTTGGTTTCAAATCCCCGATTGTACGTGACAAGGAGTAGGGTCGCCTGTCCATCCTCGTGGGATTTTTGCGGGTCGTCCGGTCCCCCCCCCCCCATTGCTAAAGACCCCTACGTACGCGTTAGTGAATTATTGAAATAAAATTTATCTATGTTAGTCCGGAAATGACCTAGTTTGTGTCGAGTGGATGTTACCCCCCCCCCCGTCTCTCTCTCTTTCTCTGTCTCTCTCTCTATCTCTCGCATCACTATCATATTCACGGTTACAGTGAATCGCCCAATTAGTAGTACCACTAATGAGTATAGGTCCTGCGTCGACAGCTATCACACAACAGGCGTTCACGAGAATTTGCTCCCATTTGCCATGACATTGACTAAAATTTTCAGGCCAAGTCCTAACCAATTAAAAGCCCAGTTACTTAATATACGGCGCTCGATTCCATTATGTATGGCACCATTCTTCCGCTCCTCTGTGGTCTTATACTATCTCAGCACTATCATATTCACGGTTATAGTAAACCGCCCAGTTAGTAGTACCGGTGTAGTGTGTGGGTCGTGACTCTTACAAAACAGGCCGATTTGACACGCACATCTCGAGATTCTGTCCCATTGACTCCCATTTCTGGTCCTCTCGTTCGCAAGAATCTGCTTCCAGCAATGACCTAAATTACCAGGATATAGACTCAATTTTTCAAAATGTTCTCGGGGGAGACCTCCCGCCCGCTTTAGGTTGCTCAGTGTTATAGCCACTGTCCCTAAGGTTCACAAAAAGTTAAAAACAAAATCAATAAAAATCATAATATGACAAGTACTTTACGACAATTTGAATAAAACTGTTTTCTAGCGAGGTTAACGATCGGCGAACAACTATATAGGCAATGCGACCTATGTTCAATAGATTTTGATGACATTCATTGGCGCCCTAGATTTGGACCCAACATCGCCCCCTACTGTTCATTGACCATAAGACAGCTACTGATTATTTTTTGGTTGGAAAGATCGTCGAAAACAATTTTTATTTTGATAATTACTAATCTGTTCTGGACTCATCTGGTGACGTAATAACTTCAAATGATGCGTAAATTATGCGTAAATTATTATACCCTTTCTCACAAAAATTGCGTTTCAGGAACATTTGTATTACGAAATCCTAAAATTTACCTACTTTTGGCATATTCTCGATTTACAAGCCTTTAACATTCATAATATTAGAATTCATCTACATTATGTCTGGTAAACTAACACTATAGACTTGAAGATCATACAAATCGTTTGACTGTTTATATTTTCAGACATGAAAGTCAAAACTACCGGAAGTGAAGCGAATCAACAAGCGTGACCTTCAACTTGGACATTAGCCCATTAAAGAAAGAAAAATATTCGACATGGGAAAATGGGGGAACAATTATTTATCACGTTATTGTCTCTCTGCTTTGCACCTGTAGTTTCTGTTGTAATTTTAGTCCTCGTTTTGGCTTCGTTGGGAAAATCACTTGGAATTCGACGGCGATATGTAAGACTTTTGTTGCAAGTGTTCGAGGTAAGAAATATTTTTTCTCGGCGAGTGTTCCATGTGAACCCGGTTCAACTGCAATTGTTAGCAGACGATGCACGTGCAAAAAGTGTGGGGTGATTGTGTTCACCGACGTTAAACGGGCATAATGCAATAGTGACCTGTGTTAATTTTATTGCCTGGCAGTTTATAAATCAAGTAAAGGGGCTTCAGAACTGTAAGAATTTATTTTGGCCTTCAGAGCAGCCTTGATCTTGGACCAAGGCTTGGTTAGTATTATTAGTAATTAGTTGGCATTGAATCTGACACAAAGACTTAAGAAGGTTCTTAAACCAAGGCCAATATTATTACAACTAGATATTAAATAAAACAGCCCATAGCTCTAACTCAGTATTATCCATGATATTCAGCATTAAATTAAAATTAAAAAACACATAAAAATTCAATGTTTTTTGTTTCAATCAATATGATGCTGTTGTTATATCCAAACACTCCTAATAATAATAATAATAATGTAGGCCTATTAGAGCTGGGCAATATCCCTGGAAACTGATGTCACTATATCGCGATATTTTATAAAATGTCAATAATTTCAGTTTATCACCTTTTAAATATAAAAACATGAAAAGTTGGAAATAGCCCCGGAGTATTCAATTGACACTTTCTATTCAATATTATTAAAAAAAAAATTCTCATAATTACAGTACCGAATTTACAAACATAATTTAATGAGCTGGTTCAAACACAGATGTTGGTCTATGTTGTTTACAATTTTAATTTCCAGTATATTAGTTATGATATTTATTTAAATTAAGAATATTTAAATTAAGAATATTTAGATGAAGGAGGCACAAAAAACATTTTAAAAAAAGCTTGTGTCCTTTCGACCATGCATGTTTTTTTATAACTATAACGGGTACGATTGGATGCTATTCATTTACCCTTAGAACAAACTCGTTTTTTTTCTCATTCTAGCGCATACCTTCTTGAAAATGCATTATGCAAAGCAAAAATACTAAATTATACTATAAAACAGGCCTGTGTCAAAAAGTGTCCATTGTTTTATTCAAATATTAACTTTTCCGGATCACGGACCGCTATGACAATTGACACATCCGACGATGAATGATAACCAGTCTACCGGAACTCTCAATATAGTTGGCATTAATTATTTATATTTCTGCTTTATCAAAATTTATTTCAATCTGAAAATCAATGATTCCTTTGGAAAATCAAAGTATCGGTATAAACAATTCGTCAAGAAATTCAGTAGAAGCAGGGATAATTCTAACGGTAAAGTGAGTGAGAAGTCACCCAATTATCAGCATTTGCTAACTTCGTGGAATGAACACTCAGGAGTTTATAACAGTATTTGTTGCTATTTATTCATCATTATGCAATAAAATATTGGAAATAACATAATAAAGCAAGACATTTTTATATCGAAATATCGCCCATATTTTTAATGCGGTTAATAATCCATCAATATACGCATGCTCAAAGCACCACATAAAACAATCTCTTTCTAATCTGGATAATACACTAAACAAATCAGCTTTTAGTTGTGACTTAAAGATTGTGAAAGTTTGAGATTCTCGAATGTTTACTGGTACATGTAACTGATTCGAGAGGTGCTGCAGCACTGAAACTTTTATCACCAATTGTTTTTGTTTTAATTCTAATAGACATACCTTGGATGGAATCAGAAATGTCAAATTGAAGACATTTATTGAAATCCATAAAGGATCTAAACCACATTTCATTGAAATCTTAAAATGGGTCGAAAAACACATATTAAAGATACATTATGGAAGATTCTATAACAACTTGGCAGTTTTCACTATCATAGTTAAAAACTAGATAATGTAAAGGCAATTTGCTGAAAATTTCATTCAAATTGATCCACTATGAACCGAGAACTAAGCGGTTGAAATTTCCGGCTAGCCTTGATCATCATTACTAAAGTCAGTACGATAAACAGCATAGTCTCGATTATCCATTTAATCGTTAAATTGTGAAGGAAAGTTATGCAGTAAATCGGCTCATAATCCATTAAAGATCACAGGCTAGCGATGCCATCTAGAGTTGATTATGGTCTGGATAGGTTAATTAATGTCTAATTAATAATTTAGGTAACATTTCAGGCCTAAAGAAAGACCTGCAATAGACAGATTTAGCTTGTGCATAATGTATGGGTCATTCTCAAAATTTGGCCAAATTTCAGTCAGTAGCACAAAGCTCTGAAAATATTTATTTTAACATTTTTTCAAAGGTCATATCATTAAGAAGAAGATATTTTGTTTCTCTTAAAGTTGTAAAATGGTATATGTGTAAACAATTTTTTGAGAAAATGGGGTTTTTTATCATCAGTTCAGGAGAAAAACCACCGTCAGTATACACGGAAATGACTTGGCAGAACAATAAAATGTTAATTCCAAGACATTTTTTAATATTTTTTTAGCATTTGAAATAAAATACCAGTATAACAAACACATAACTAACAGATTTACTAGGAAAAATTATGAAAATCCAATATTAATCACACAATTAATGATTGTCCAAAATTTCACGGTCAGTGGTGTAACGAACTCTAAAATTATGACATTAAATGATTATCTCCCTTGAAGATTATATGAAATACTGACTGCTCCTTTTGCTGATGACTGAAGTTTTGAGGAGGTCAAATTTGAATTCCTGTAGAAGTTCCACGCAATTAGATAAGTCTATTATTCACCATAACTTTTTATTGTGTCAGTGGTGTAAACACTGATTACTTGTTCATATGAACTAATTTAAAACATTTTTTATTTTAAGCAAATTAAAACTATTGAAACATCATCCTTTATGCCATGTGGTCAGTATTTAGGGAGCATTTATTGTTATAAATGTTCATAAAAGTATGAATGGGTCAGTGGTGTAACTGTCAGTGGTGTAACACTAGAAAATGTTACACCATTGACAGGTTTTGTTACACCACTGACAAAACTTTCCTTTTGGGCAATTTTTTTGCAAAACTGAATTGGTTTGCAATACATCTATCAAGAGTTTTTTCTTTCAGATTGTTTATTTTATTCTTTTATTAAAGAGACATACTATAAAAGTAATGTTGCAACATTTTATGTGCTAAAGTTTGCTAGATATGTTACGCCATTGACAAATTGGTGTTACAACATTACCACAATATTTTCATTTCATAAATGTTAATATTTGTTTAAACTTTTTTAAATATTCATGTTCAGACTTTACTATTAAGCCTTTTTGATTTTGATGATTAGTAAAAGAGGCATTTAATTTGTATCTATGTAAAGAAAAATCAGTGGTGTAACAAAATAAGTCATTGGTGTAACAGTATTCTTTGTAGTTTTACATGATATTGTTTCATATTCAGATGATTTGTTTTGCAAATCCAAATGTTTAAAAACCTGTTCTTTAATAATGACAAATAAATCATTTCAATCTTTATATGACAGTTTATTTGGCTCTTATCTTCAGTAATTTGCAAGAGAATCAGTGGTGTAACAAATCTTGTCATTGGTGTAACACACATATCAGTGGTGTAACATACATCTTTGACAAACCCAGGATTAAATTGTGAAAATAATTAAATAAGTAAACTCACAATTAAAAAGAGAAAAAATATGGATAATGAAAACAGTGGAGAATCTTTTTTTTATTTATTTAAAAGTGTGAAAATATAAACATTTATGCTCGTTACACCACTGACATTTTTTCCAAGTGGATAAATCAAAAACCTTATCAAAATATCTTATTTACTTACTGTGTGCAAATCATCATAACAGCACTTCTCAATGTGCTGAGCATTGCATAGAATACAAAAATTATTCATTTAGACGCTTTGTATTTTTGAATTTTTCAAGGTCTAAATGTGACCATATTTTGAGAATGACCCGTATGTTTAATGAATGTAATCCTAGATAAACTGATTTTCGTACAATTTTTAAGATTTTTATTGTAAGTTCTAATCAGTTATCTTTGAGGAAATATGTGAGAAATTCAAATCTTGTAGACATCTGAAAATAGTAAAATATCCACAATTTAGAAGTTTTTGTTATTGTTGATCTCGTTTGTTATTTTTAAAGCCCAGTTTGATTAGCAAGCTTAAAATGAAAAATTATTTAAAATACACATTGAAAGTTATTGCTTAAAAGGCATTCATATATATTAAGATTTTTAAATTGCGTTATTCTTTAGACAGCCATGTTTTCTATATTTTAGTTCGGAAAAGAAAAAATTTCAAGGTATAATAAGAATAAACAGAATGGGGATGACTCTGATGAAGAAGATGCGAACGAAAACACAAAAACCCTGTGTGAAAACGGAAATGGTGAGTATTTCATCCTGACTCGTTTTAACAAGTCAACTAATGTTTACCTGTTTTGTTTGTCTTGGTTTCAGTTTGTGTTTGTTTATTATTCATGTTTTGTTGTCCTCCTGCCCTTTTGGGAGTGAAAATCTAAATATTAAACAACACACTAGTTAGATTGATGTAATGTGCAAAGTTTGAATATTTTTGGGGGGATTGGATAGCCGAATGGTTAGCGTGTGCAGGCTGTGTCATAAGGTCTGTCATTGAGTCAACAGGCGTGGTTTTGATTCCAACCTCGTGGGTTTTCTTTGGGTCCTCCGGTTTCCTTCCACTGCTCAACACGCCTTATGTGCAAACGAATTATTGAAATAAAATTGAACCATGTATTAGTCCCGAAATTACCTAGTTTGTATCGAGTGGACTTTAAACCCAATTACTCTCTCTCTCTCTTGAACATTTTTTAAAAACTGGTCTTTCCATCTGTTGTCCACAATACTTATTGTGACATGTTACAGTGTAACTTTGCTTCTATATGTTATTGAGATAGATTGTTTATATTGTTGTTCTTAGGTCATCCCATGTTTATTAGTTTTAACTGGGTTCAATGATGCTGATGATGAGTATTTTCATCTTGTGCTAAGTTTTGGAAAAAATAACTTTGACTCTAATTGAGTGTAATGAAGCTTGGTACATAGTTTCATTACATCATATCAAGTATTTTCTGCTCCGATGATGCAGAAAGATACATCTAGGCAGTTTGATTTGTCAATGCGTGAAAAAAAGATCAATGTCAAAGTATTTAATGAGTGTCATCTATTTATTTTTGAATCCCTTGCAAACTATAATATTGTGAGATCATTGTGCACACAGAGAACTATCTACTCTACGGTACTTTGAGAATAGATCTCTGCCCTAAATGACCTCCATATCCAATAATTAGTATACAGATTTATAATGCGTTTCTAATCCAGTTCACGTCTGTTATACATGTAATACTCAAAAAGAGTCTTTCAATTTTTTGAAATGAAAGCAGAATGCATATATATACATGTACTTCTAAATTTGCAAAATATACTTAGCAGGCCTATTTTCGACTAAAATCATTGACTTAGGACTTAAAATGTCAGCCAACTAGTTAAGTGTCTGTTCTCAAGTGGAGGTAATTGTAGACAGATGGTGTAAGTTTAGTGTGGGGTGAGAGTAGAATCTCATTGCAAAAGGAATATCTGTTCAGTTCCGTTCAGCAATTACATTGGAGATTCTGACTGATTCCAAGTCGAGGTGCTCAACAGTTAATTTGTAATTGTGTGTAGAATGACTATATTATAGACTTTAAATCTTGTAGGGGGCTGGGTGGCAGAATGGTTTAAAACGTCTGTCATTGAGTTAAGTTACATGGTTTTGACACCCTGGTTTTACGTGACAAGGAGTAGGGTAGCCTGTCCAATCTGATGGGTTTTCTCTGGGTCCTCCGGTTTCCTCCCACTGCTTAAGACCCCAACGCGCAAGTGAATTATTGAAATAAAATTTAACCGTAAATTATATGTTAGTCCAGAAATGACCTAATTTGTGTCAAGTGGACTTTAAACCCCATTTCTCTCTCTCTCTCACTATATAGACATTAAATCACGTACTGCAATGTACGTCTGACTTAGGAATGAAAGGAATCACTCTTCATATTATAATATAACTCTCCCTATTTATCAAATCCCTCACTTTATTCAAACTGGGAGAGCGATTTTTAGAAGAGCAATTTTTGACTTTTGCAAATTAAGAAAAGCTTTTTTTAAGCTCACCAGTGAAATAATAGAAAACATTAACAGCTCTGGACAAAATGCAGACATGTATTTGCTCGACAAAAGCTCCCACACCATGCATATATTTAACCATTGGACTGTTGAGACTCTGGACTTTGAAAGAAGCTGTGTAAATATGCACTTTTATGGGTTATTATATAATATACAAGACTAGACTAAAGTCTAAGTTTGTTTTGAAAGAAATTCATTGTACCGTATAATAGTATATTGAAAGATATACAAATGTATGAGATAGTCTGTCTGTAAGCTGTAATGTAAATATTAAAAGGGATTATAAATTTTAAAAGATATGACTAAAAATAGGCAGAAGGTACTTAAGTAACCTATCACTAGGTCAATGGTATCATTAGGTCAGTGGCCTGTGGAATACTGTAGGCTACCTTAATGATAAAGGATTTCGCTGATGTAGTGGTTTGCTGTTCTCCAACCTCGTGGGTTTTCTCCGGGTCCTCCGGTTTCCTCCCACTGCTAAAGACCCCTACGCGCAAGCGAATTATTGAAATAAAATTAAACCATATGTTAGTCCTGAAATGACCTAGTTTGTATTGTCTTAAACTTTGTACTTTTTATTGGAACCTTGTTTAAAGTCCACAAGTTGTTGTGGTAGCTCAGTGGGTGAGGCACTGGCGCGCTAGCCTGGCAAGCATGGTGTCTAGTTGTTTGGATGGAGTGAAAAGTTAAGGTCACGTGTGCACTTAAAAGAACCCTAGAGAGAATGTCCCTCATAACACACAGCATAGCGCATGCCTGTCTTCATTACCCCAGTTGCAAACCTATTTAAAGTCCACCAATGATAAAATATTGAAAAGTAATAAAAAATATTTTTTATACATTTTATTCAAACCCTATTTAAAATCGATCAATACTTTTTCTATGTTAAAATGATGAAAAGAAAAGTAGGCCTATCGCAAAAAATATTTATTGTGGCTTTTTAGTGTGTGATAAGTTATAGCCAATGTTTTTTTCCATACAAAATATTAAAAAGTAATAACAAAAAACCTATATATCATAGTTGAAATAATTTTTTGACTTTTGATTATTAAAAGTACCTGAGCTGAATTTGTGATACATGTAATTTACAAATTATTATAGATTACATATATGTTACAATTAGTATGAATAAAAGTTGATTAATAATGACTAATTAATCTGGCTTAGCATATTGAACTCATTGCTACTTTAGGGATGTATGTGAAATATTATTTATATATTTTGGTACAGGATGGATAGCCTGACAAGGACAGATGTCTGGTCGTTTGGATGGGACAAAAAAACAAAAACGATGTCCTGTGTACACATTGGCGTACGCGTAAAAGATCAATTGGCAGTTGGATTTCAATATAAGAGTAGGACATAGCCCTGTTGCCCAGGCTAACTTTCACGTCTTCATTAGCCCAGTCCAGAAGTAGTAGGCCACCACCACCAGGCCTGTTACTCCTGGTTGGGAGCTACGCCTATGTGATATGCCAAATTTCAGTCTCGGGACCGTTTATCACGTGCATTTTGCATACATGTAGTCCATTGGCCAATTACGCTATTTTACTGAGATTTTGTCTAATGGTTTGGATGCAACTATGGGGGGTGTGGCACCATGCGGTGTATGCTTACTCTTCCGGGCACCTGTTACCACTGTTTGTCGTGTATTTTGTAAACGGTGAACAGTCTATTTGCTGATTACACTATTTTGCCTATACCGTTTTTAGGGCTTTGAATTTTGTCTAATGGTTTGGATTGTTCGTACTTGGTTTTATTTTATTTATGCCCACCAAAATAGACAGACAAAACAAACGACAGTCACAAATATTAGTATAGATGTATATGAATGATTATTTGTATATACCGGTATTCAGGGTTTTTGTATCTGAACAAGTTACATGTATATACTGATATTGATGATGTATATGGATGATTATATATTCAGTGTTTGTGTGTCTGAACGGCTTATATACTGATAATGTATATGAATGATTATTTGTATATTTTCAGGGCTAAATGTAATTGAGAGAGATATATCAATATCATACAGCAAGGGTATTAGAATACAGTCTATATCTACTGATATTAATGATGTTAAAAAAAAATTTGATTTGTCAGATATTATGTACTTCGCGAAATGTGGAGTTGAGGTAAGTAAATTATATACACAAGGCTGTACAAAAAACAGTATTCTTGTTCTCGGATGTTCACATAAATTTATTATCTGTATTAGGCTTTCCAAATCCCCATTTTGGTTCCTTTTCATCCATTGTGCTGTATGAACAGATAAAATTTCAATCTGGTTTTGAAAATTCAGGCAGACGTTGATTATATGAAGGGGTACCGTAGTGAATTCTACAAATTAGCTGAAGAGTACTGGAAGGAATGTTTGGTCATTTCTTAATCTGATTAAAATACAGATCTATATTTCGTTCTGTTTTTTTATACTTTCGATGGCGTACACTACTTGAAGATCTGACCAGTTGTCCTGGGCGGTCGAGTCAGGGGTCGTACGAGCGGCTTTTGACCCGATGACGTCAGACATTGATTAATCAATCAATGTTGACATTTCTAGTGGTTTACCCAGAGTTCTGTGCATGGCATGCCAAGAAGTCTCCGTAACAGACCGTTTCATTGGCTAATCTCTCACATCAATCAGAACGCAGGTTATATAACAACTCTTCCAGATCCTAGTGTAGTAAAGACAAGTAAAATGAAATTTTGAACTATAAAAAACGAAACGAAATAGGATCTGTGTTTTAACCAGATTGGTCATTAGGAATATCACCTACATGTAATGGGCTAATGTAAGATTGGGTGATAATGACAAGAAATTTATTGTGATAATAATTTATTACATAAATTGTCATGATACTGACAATATTATCAAAAAAAATATGTTGTGTATACATTAATGGTGCATTGTGTAAGATTTAGATAAAGAGCTGGCCGTTCTTGTTATAATAGTTCAAATATTTCGCCCGTATATTCCGGACATGTTCTACATTATTTGTCCCCCGCCTTTCGAAGAAAGCAGGGGACTATTAAAATGGGTTCGTCCGTCTGTCTGTCCGTCCGTCTGTCTGTCCGTCACACTTTTTGGGACACAATAACTCTCTTCCTAATTGAGCTAGAATGTTCAAACTTGGTGTATGTGTTTATTAGGTCAATGCCTTGATGGAGTTCGAAGATGAGCATTTTCCGCTTAGGGTAAGCAGAGATAAGCAATTTGATTGGTTGATGCTTTGGGACACGATAACTCTCTTCCTAATTGGGCTAGAATGTTCAAACTTGGTGTATGTGTTGATTAGGTCAATGCCTTGATGGAGTTCGAAGATGAGCATTTTCCGCTTAGGGTAAGCAGAGATAAGCAATTTGATTGGTTGATGCTTTGGGACACGATAACTTTTAATTGAGCTAGAATGTTCAAACTTGGTGTATGTGTTTATTAGGTCAATGCCTTGATGGAGTTCGAAGATGAGCATTTTCCGCTTAGGGTAAGCAGAGATAAGCAATTTGATTGGTTGATACTTTGGGGCACGATAACTCTCTTCCTAATTGAGCTAGAATGTTCAAACTTGGTGTATGTGTTGATTAGGTCAATGCCTTGATGGAGTTCGAAGATGAGCATTTTCCGCTTAGGGTAAGCAGAGATAAGCAATTTGATTGGTTGATGCTTTGGGACACGATAACTTTAGTTCTAATTAAGTGAGATTGATGAAACTTGGTGTATAGTTTCATTACAGTAATACCTTGACTAAGTTTGATAATGAGCATTTTCTGCTCAGGGTAAGCAGAGCGATACGCAATTTGATTGGTCGAGACTTTGGAAAACAATAACTCTCCTACTTTGATTGTTAGACTATAAGTAAAGATATACTGTTTGATTGTTCAATACTTTGTAAAAGAGAATTTGTGATAAATTTATATGTGTCCTCTAATTATTTTCCTATTTCGGCGGGGGACATCAGCCTCACTGTTGGCTTGTTTTCGAAAGGAATATGCACAATCGGACATCAAGATATGGTGAATAATATTCAAATCCCAAAATTCATAGACTGTACTGAGTGTATGGCTACTACTCATCGCGACTATCGTTGATAATTGGCTGAATTGATTAGGTAATTTAGGATCAACATATTTATCTTGTTATATAGTCTATTCACCTACCTTGATTAACTACTTAATCCGTCTTGATTGGCCGACTTAATCTGATGTCAGACAATTTATCAATCTAGTCTTGAACAGAAGTCATTGCTTCTCCTTTGTCGGCTATTTATCAATCCAATATAGTAGAAAGGCGAGTGCTAGTATTATTTAGCAGACTGACAAAATTTTTTTCGAATGTCATTTTTTAAAATTTTGTTTACATCATCCATATATATGTCGATGGGGAGTATTAGATGACGGCCGGATTTCTGCTGAAAAAAGTATCAACTTATACCCCGAAAAATACAGAACTTTTGTAAGAATATTACTGGCGGCAATTTGAATTTGAATTGAAACATGTACTATTCATTCTATCATCGTATTATGACAACATACAACATATACTTTTTAAGGAATATTACTACTATGAATTTGAATATACAGGAATTAAATTTGAAAAATAACGAAGTGCGGCTATTTTTTTTTTTATCACACACGCATTTGAATATTTTGTTGAAACGTGGTTTTTAATTGTCGTCTGAATCTGCTTGCTTAAATAATGATAAGGGTTCCGCCCCTTCATTTTCGGTAAATATATCAGAAAGATTTTGAAATGGCAACACTGGTTTGACAAGATTTGACCTAGATTGTTTATTATAGTAGCAACATTATTTGTTAATCAAGACTCGGCTTCGCTTCTTCTCTATTATTGAATTAAATCCATAAACGATGATCGTAATTCAGTCTATTTAAACCTCTACCATTGGATGTTCTACAGAGTTACTTAAGGCTTAACATGGGAATAAATATCTGAATAATAAGTTATATAACATTTAATGCCAAAAGAAGACCTACAATAGGTAGATTTACCTTTTACATAATACATCTTACAGGTGAATGAGTGGAGTTCTTAATCAAGTGGCTATCAGGGTTGATGATGACAGATTAACATTGGCTAGACAGTTTCTGTCATTAATATTGTATCTATGGCTAATGAGGACAAATATGCCAGGAAAGGATTATTTCTGCATTCTCTTTATCAAATTCCAACCTTGTGATTTTAGGAGTTTTTATGATTTTTACCTGATTTTTTATTTTCAGACAATTATCGAAGATGATGTCACACAAAGATTTTCTGCGGAAGGTTTGTACTGTAGAGTAGATTGTGATATTAGTTACCTGGATTTGTAGTGTATAGTACTATATTAGTTACCTGGGTTTGTCAGTTTATCTTGTATAGTAGAACATGATATTAGTTACCTGGCTATGATTACGTATCTACCTGTATATATGTCAAGTTTCTCTGGTTGTTTAACTGGGACAAAGATAACTCAAGTATTTTGTTTATGAGATGGGCTCTTGAAGGTGTACCTGACATTTTTTATCCCTTTTCGCGCATGGGTCTTTAGCAATGGGGTATCTCAGTGAATAAAAATTGCTAATGGGAGATCCCGTGTTCGATCCCTGTGTTGGTCGTGAAAGTTCCTCCTTGTCAGTGGTGCAGCACCGAGGGCCTGGCAATGGACAGAGTATAGTTGTTCAACTGGGACAGAAAATCCAGGTCCTGTGTACACCTTGGCGTTCATGTAAAAGATCCCTTGGCAGTTGGAATTTGATATCCGGGCAGACTTCCCCTCGTAGCACACTTTAAGGTGTATGCCTGTCATCATTAGCCCAGACGGAGCAGGACACTGGCACATTAAACCCCAGTACTGGGGTGACCCCCCCCAAAAAAAATCCATGATGTTTTGTAGGCAATCTTACTCCATGTCACATACAACTTGTGTGTTGGATCGAAACAATACCATTTGACTCATAACAGACGTTTATAACCTACAGCACTGTGTTATACCAATTCATTGCCTGTAGAATGTTGTACCATGTGCATTGTAGCTTGGTAGTCGCAATGCATGATTTTAATGCATTAGGAATCTCTTGCCAACTACTATTGTGAAAGATGAATCTCCAATTCCAATAAAAATATTGGTCCAAAATTGGTTTAATTTCCGTTCAGTATTTACAAAAGTGCTGAATATAGCTCAACAATGTAGTAAGCTCATTGCCATTTTGTTGTGGGCGAACAGAATTGATAGACCTATTTTAAATGCAATTAAATCCAAACAGCGACGTTATCTGGTGTTGGGGGGATGGGTGGTCGAATGGTTAAAGCACTCGCGTTGTATTAGACGATCTGTCATTGAATCAATCTGCATGGTTTCGATTCCCTGCTTGTATGTGACAAGGAGTACTGCTGCCTGTCCAACCTCGTGGGTTTTCTCTCCACTTCCTCCGGTTTCCTCCCACTGCTAAAGACCCCTACGCACAAGCAAATTATTGAAATAAAATTCAACCATATGTTAGTCCCGAAATGACCTAGTTTGTTCGAGTGGATGTTAAACCCCATTTCTCTCACTATGTCTGGCGTGAAGGGGGCTGGTTGTTAGAATGGTCTAACCCGTGCACTTCAGATCATAAGGTCTGTCACTGAGTCAAGTGACATGGTTTCAATTCCCAGCTTGTACTCTCTCTTATCTGGAGTTAGTGTTTTGATCTTGTTTTCTTAATTGGGGGGTTGGATGGCCGAATTGGTTAGCACGTGCGTGCTGTATCATAAGGCCTGTCATTGAGTCAACAGGCGTGGTTTCGAATCCCCGGTTGTACGTGACAAGGAGTAGGGTCGCTTGTCCAACCTCGTGGGTTTTTTCCGGGTCCTCACGTTTCCTCCCACTGCTAAAGACCCCTACGCGCAAGCGAATTATTGAAATAAAATTAAAACCATATGTTAGTCCCGAAATGACCTAGTTTGCGTCGAGTGGACGTTAAACCCCATTTATTCTGTACACATCTTTAGCATGGATTAAGCCGTTTATAGTGAGAAATTTGATAATTTAGCGAAAAATAATGCAACATTTCTTATAAATTTTGCTTTTATTTCAGAGTTACCATCATGGAATTTATTATCACGAACTAGTTATGGATATCATTATATCAGGTATTTATAAGTTTTATCAGGTATTTATAGGTTTTTATCAGGTATTTATAGGTTTTTATCAGGTATTTATAGGTTTTATCAGGTATTTATAGGTTTTTATATGTTCTCCCCTAGTGTCATCTTGTCAGTGGTGCAGGATGGAGAATCTGACAAGGAACAATGTCTAGTTGTTCAGAGGGGACGATAAACCAATGTCCCATGAACAAGTTAGCAAAAAAACCTGTAACAATTGGAATTCAATGAAGAGAAGGTGGAATCGTCATTCTCTGGCAAAATTTCTCTCGGTATAGCCCAATGCCAGATGTATACCCGTTTTTATTAGCCCGGGTAGTGTTTATACACTTTATAAATGTTGATATATTATTATTTGGTATTAGATGTATGTAAGGATTTTTAGATAAAGAACAGACAATTTCATCCAAGTTAATTTATTCTGGGCGAAGTTATGAGTGTTGAAAAATGCAGAATTGATTGTTTATTGTTGTAGCAATGATCCTGGACAAACATGTCTTGATTATTCTTTTTATCGTTAAATTTTTAATCCATTTAAATATCTGCCATCCAACAATCTAGAGAGTTGATTATGGGCTTGTCATGTTAATCAATGTCTAAATAATAATTCATATAACATTTGAAGCGAAAAAAAAGACCTGCAACAAGCAGATTTAGCTGTTACATATTGTATCTTTAAGTGTATATATTATATTTATTTACAGTTGAAATTAACTATTATATGAGTCTGGTATTGTTTTATTTTACAGTTTGAGATTAACTATTATATGGGGATTAGGATTTTTAGCTCGTTATTTTGTTCTACTTCCATTCAGGTGAGTTTCAATTGTTTCATTGTTTCTATTGAAATAAAATTGAACCATATGTTAGTCCCAAAATTACCCAGAAAGGATCGTGGTTGTTATGGCACAGGTAGAAAGGATCCAGGTTGCCATTGCACATGTAGATAAAGGATCTGGGTTGCCATGGGACAGAGAGAAAAGGGTCCAGCTTGCAATGGTACAGGTGAAAAAGGGTTTGGATTGCCATTATTACCTGTCATGTGTTCGATATAGAAGTCTATAGCCCAGTATCCTTGGATTGTTGGGGGAGTCACGGTGGCTAAGTGATTAAGTCACTGGCTCACTAGCCTGGAGGTTGCAGGTTCGATCCCTGCGTTCGCTGAGGTCCTGTGTACACATTGGCGTGCGTATAAAAGATCCCATGGCAGTTGGAATTCGAGTTAATAGTAGGCAGTAGTTCTGCTGTCCGTGCAAAAATTTCCCTCGTAGCACACTATGAGGCATATGCCCGTCTTCACTAACCCAGGCGGAGCAGGAGCAGAACAGTAGGACGTTAAACCTCATTTCATTTCATTTGTTGAAATAACCTATTTAAAGCTGCTTAATGGTTGAATCCCTAAAAGAAATGTCAGCCTAAACATGATGCATTTCCATTAAGCATTTACAAAGACATGATGAATGGAAAATAAATTTGTCAAAATTCAACATCATCTATAGATATTGTCGAGAGAATACAAATGTTGATCACAGCTTTAAACCATATTTCTATCTTTTTCCAGACTTATACTGGCCGTTTTAGGCATTGGTTGGCTGATTGTTTGTACAGCTTTTATTGGTTATCTGCCTGCAGGAAAGTAAGTTGAACCTTCTATTTACTATTCTTCTATGCCTGGTTCCAACCTCGTGGGTTTTCTCAGGGTCCTCCGGTTTCCTCCACTGCTAAAGACACCTACGCACAAGCAAATTATTGAAATAAAATTGAACCATATGTTAGTCCCGAAATTACCTGGTTTGTGTTGAGTTGATGTTAAACCCCATTTCTCTCACTATGTCTAATGGGGAGGGGGCTGGTTGGCCGAATAGTGTAACCTGTGCACTTCAGATCATAAGGTCTGTCATTGAGTCATGTGACATGGTTTCATTTCCCAGCTTGTACATAACAATGAGTACATGTAGGGTTGGTTTAGTGATTTCGACTAAAATTGTCGAAATAGGAATTAAACTGTTGGTCTACTAGCTTTGTGTCTGTTCACAATGCGGCGCGAATTGTAGACAGACAGCGTAAGTTTTGTATGGTGACTCTATCAGTCTGTGATGCTAGAAGAAGCAGCAGTTTGTATGGTGACCCTGTCAGTCTTGAGGTGCTAGAGGAAGCAGCAAGTTTGTATGGTGATTCAGTTTGAGGAGCTAGAGGGATGGAGGTAAAGAGTTGAGAACAAGTCTCTGTTATAATCCATGATTCAATCACATTTCGATTATTTGTCATGACAAATCAATTTTTGTCGAAAATAATATATAAAAATTTTTTTCTCACCAGATTCAAGAGAGAATTAAATCAGTATGTTAGTTTAATGTGTTTCCGGATTTTATCCAGAGCTTGTTCAGCCATCGTCACATTTCATAATAGGTTAGTTTTCTTTTTTATACACTTACATTTCTTTATTTGTCCTCCTGTCTGTGAGCAATATCTTGTGAATTTGATAGAGGCTAGAGTTCTTCAAATTTAATGGAAGCATTTGGACCATCACTGGATGAACCCTATCGATTTTCACTGTTCTCCGTCATCTACTTGGAAATATGGGAGTATCTCAGTGAGTAAGACATTGACTATATTTGCATACACATAAAAGATTCATTGGCAGTTAAAATTTGATATAAGAGTAGGCCATCGTGTCACTGTCCGGCCAAAATTTCCCCAATAGCACATTGTATGATTTATGCTCGTCTTAGGAGCAAAATAGTTAAATCCCATTTTATTTTTGTTAGAAGTGAGTTGTTTTGGTCAATGATAAGATTACATCTTATATTTTATGATTACATATTGTATTTTATGATTACAGTGAGATTGCATGTTATATTGTAGATTACAGTGAGATTACATGTTATTTTATGATTACAGTGAGATTACATGTTATATGTTATATTTTATGACTGCAGTAAGATTATGTGTTGTATTTTACGATTGCAGTGAGATTACATGTTATATTGTATGATAACAGCGAGATTACATGTTATATTTTTATGATTACAGTGAGAATAAAGCTAAAAATGGTATTTGTGTTGCTAATCATACATCACCTATAGATGTTATTGTTCTGTCCTGTGATAATTGCTATGCTCTGGTTAGTAAATTATTATATATATTCAATCAATCAACATAATTATTGCCTTGCCAAAAATCCCAGTGTCCCAAATAAAGAATTTTAGGCACACAATTTACCCAAAGTTGCTTACCTAACCTACAGGTTTTAATCTTGAAATATGTTTGCAGGTTGGCCAAGCACAAGGTGGTTTACTTGGAGTATTACAGCGTGCCATGGCCCGTGCTACCGCCCATATTTGGTTTGAAAGATCAGAGGTGAAAGACAGACATCTTGTCACAAAAAGGTACGAATCTATGATCATATTTCTGTGCTAGGCAATAGTTGTATTTAAGTCATATGTTTAAAATAAAGCCTGAAAAGACCTTACTCCTATAACTCATTATTGCGTGTTGTATCATAAGGTCTGTCATTGAGTCAACTGACATGGTTTTGATTCCCTTGTTGTACATGACAAGGAGTAGGCTCGCCTGACCAACCTTGTGAGTTTTCTCTGGGTCCTGTGGTTTCCTCCCAATGCTAAAGACCCCTGAGCAAGCAAATTATTAAAATAAAATTTAACTATATGTTAGTCCCAAAATGACCTAGTTCGTGTCGAGTGGACGTTAAACCCCATTTCTCTCTCTCTTCCTCTCTTGATTGTAAGTGGAGAAATTGGTAAATTTATCATTTTCAATTTGAAACATCTTCGTCAACCAGGGGTCATTATCCTTATCTGTTTGACTACAGACCTTGACAATCAAGCCATATCCTGTGGATTTCCCCACAGCCATATGTTGACTTAGTTTTCTGTGGGAAAGTAGAAAATATTTTGAATTTTACGTGATTGTGTTTTAAATGCTAGAATGATACCTATTTTTTTATAATAGTGTTTTGACAACCTATTAAGCAATAGAAATATTAAGGTTTTGACTTTCTTAGAAATATGAGGGGTTTGGATGACTGAATGGTTAGCATGTGTGCGATGTATCATAAGGTCTATCATTAAGTCAACTGGCATGGTAAGGTTGTACGTGCCAAGAAGTAACTAGTAAAGACCCCTACGTGCAAACAAATTATTGAAATAAAATTGAACCATATGACCTAGTTTGTGTCGAGTGGACGTTAAACCCCATTTCTCTCTCTCTCTTCCTCTCTTTTAGAAAATATGCAATTATCTCTTTAAATTGCTTCATTTATTTACACAGTGCAATGGATTTCTAATTACGTAGTTGTATGACTATTTTCTGTTATTTTACAGGTTAAAGGAACATGTGGATGATTTAGATAAACTTCCAATGTTAATATTTCCTGAGGGTACGTATGTTAACTTATTTAAACTGAAAACAAAGTAGACAAATCGAGTGGGGACCCTTCAGAACTAAATCTTCTCATTGATACCATCCATTATGAAAGTTCTTAATTTGTAAATCCATTTGTATTCAGAAATTTCCCCGGATCATTTTTGTCACCATCAATATCAGTCTTAATCAACTGAATAATTTTTATACGCCCACATTTTCATGTGGACGTATATTGTCGTTGCCCCTGTCCGTCCACAATCTGTTTGTTGACACTCTACAGGTCACAATATTTATTCGATTTTGACGAAACTTAAAATATAGGTCTATCTCCCAAAGATCTTGGTTCCTTTCGATATTGGCATATATTGGACCATAACTTCATGGATTATGGCCCCTGATTGTACGAAAAATCGTGTTTTTAGCTTGTAGACAATCTAGAGGTCACAATTTTCATCTGATTTTAATGAAACTTGTTCACAAATAGTGTAAATATATGGTATATTAAGGTTGTGGACCCTCTAATAGTCACAATTTTGATCTGATTTTGATGAAACTTGAAATATATCTTTATAACCCGAAGATCTTGGTTCCTTGCATATTGGATCATAATTTCCTGAATTATGGCCTTTTGATTGTACAAGAAATAGAATTGAATCATGTGTTAGTACTGAAATGACCTAGTTTGTGTTACATGGACGTTAAACCCCATCTCTCTCTCTCTCTCTCTCCCCTCCCACCCCCTACTTGTGTGTCCTTTGAGATAACAATATATTGCAACCGGTTTCAAAATGACTAGACCGCTTCGATTTAGGCCCCTCTAAATCAGATTTTATGTGTGTTGTTATGATAGCTAGGTACTTGTAATAGTTCCTTGTATATATATGTATATTTATATTGTAACAGGTACTTGTATAAATAATACATCAGTCATGATGTTTAAAAAAGGAAGTTTTGAAGTGGGTACAACGATATATCCTGTTGCAATTAAAGTAAGTTTTATTAAATTAGTAAGTGCAGGAAGACCACACCACACCTAAACAATTACAAAAGACAAACCCACGGACAAAATGCAATATACACAGATACTTCAAACAATAAACATATATATTAAAGGGACCATCCTGATTATAACAAATAAAAATCTGTGTATGTATGAAATTTAAGCGCCAAAATATAGAGGAATGGTGTATTGACCTTGTCTCAAAATTTCAGCTTAAAATAGTGAGTTGTTTGCACATGAACGTCAAATCCGCTTCTCCGGACATGCAACCCTTTTAAGATTTCAGGTCAATTATTGCCCGGCCCTAAGGTAGAGGATTTTAAGGGCTTTTAACACAAAATTAAGCAGTTTTATTCTCCAAAATATAATCGGAGATTGGCCCTTTAAATCAAGTGAATGAATCTGGGGGGGCTAATGTAAGTGATTATGGTGAGGTACAGTCCTAAGCCTGTAGTGATACAGGCTTTACTCAAATTGAAAACAAACTAAAAATAAAGGAAGTGCTATACTTAGCAGATTTTCATTTCATCGTAGCTTTGTAAACAGTCTTTAAAGATGCAATATGTAAACACAGATCATTCGTTTGGCGCCAAATGTTATATAAATCATTAGAAATATATTCACTTAATTTATTCACTTTATCAACTCTCTAGATTATAGAATGGTTTTGATTTTCAACAGATTTAAACACAATTGCCTGTTAATCATTTAATTAACAGTAGCAATGACAATCAAAACTACACTATTTACTCAGAATGAAATATTTGACTGAAATTTTCAACATATTTCCCTTTCATTATCTATTTCTTAACTATTATAGCGAGAACTGTTAGCTCCTTATTGAAACCTTACATAATGTATCTTTAACAGAAGGAATTATAAATACATGTATTATATGTATATTTTAGTATGATCATCGTTTTGGTGATGCGTTTTGGAACAGTAGTAAACAAGGAATGATTCAACATTTATTAAATATTATGACCAGTTGGGCTGTTGTCTGTGATGTATGGTATCTTCCTCCAATGTCCAAATTAGTAAGTATTGTCTTCTAAGGGTGTAGTGGGGAGTGGAGGGCTGGAGAATGTCCAAATAGTCCAGCATGTTCAGTCACGGATAATATGTCTTGTGATCGATACAGTGGTCAAGTGGATTCTCTTTTAAAATGTCCATGTAATGGATAATTAGCACGCTGGGTAAGAAAATTGGTAATGGGCATGTAATGGGTGATGGACATGTAAATGATTAATGGGTATGGAAGATGGACATGTAATGGTTAATGGACATGTAATATCTATTATGGTGTAATTTGGGTACCTGTACACCATTATAGTCCATTACATTTAAACGTGACAAGGAGTATGGTCGCCTGTCCAACCTCGTTGGTTTTCTTCGGGTCCTCCGGTTTCCTCCCACTACTAAAAATCCTTACGCGCAAACAAATTATTGAAATAAAATTGAACCATTTGTTAGACCCGAAATGACCTAGTTTGTGTCGATGGATGTTAAACACCATTTCTCTCTCTCTCTCTCTCTCTCTCTCTCTCTCTCTCTCTCCATTAGTTTAAATTTATTTTATTGCCACAAAAATCATCAATGTGCTAAATCCTCTTCAAAGGTATCAATAAAACACCTAGGAAAGTAGGAAATTCAGTGTGACGATGGACATGGAAAATTGTGCCAGATGATTTATTTTTTGTTTTGATTTATACAGGATGGAGAAGATGCTGTAGAATTTGCTAATCGTGTTAAAAGTGAAATCGCTAGAAAAGGTGGATTGGTTGATCTTGAATGGTGAGTTAGAATTTCATAAACCTAAATAATTAGATTGGTTTCAGATAACTGTATGCTAGTCTTTAACAGAGGATGTTGCTGGAATCTCAACTAAAATGTCCCAGGGTTTTGTTCAACTGGCGGGGTTTCGATTCCCCGGTTGTACATGACAAGGAGTAGGGTCGCCTGTCCAACCTCGTGGGTTTTCTCAGGGTCCTCTGGTTTCCTCCCACTGCTAAAGACCCTTACGCGCAAGCAAATGATTGAAATAAAAATTGAACCATGTATTAGTCCCGAAATGATCTAGTTTGTTTCGAGTGGACGTTAAACCCCATTTCTCTCTCTCTCTCTACCAGGGTTTTGGGTGGCCGAATAGTTAACATGTGCGCGTTGGATAATAGGGTCTGTCATTAAGTCAAGGGTCGTTGGTCCAATTTTGTGTGTTTTCTCTGGGTCATCCGGTTTACTCACACTACTAAAGACGACTATGCACAAACGAATTATTGAAATAATATTGAACCATGTGGAAGTCCCGAAATATCTAGGTTTTGTCGAGTGAAAGTTAAACTCATTTCTCTCTCTCTGCCCAGGGTTTCAAATCGCATCGGGGAGCGAAATGAACCTTGAGTAATGTTAGTGCCTGATTTTTCTGAGTATCATTGTCTATGAAGTTGGGTCTGGTTCTTCGGATGGGGCAAAAAAAAAGGTTGACTCTGGTTGTTTGGATCGGATAAAAAATCCCTGGTCCAACAACGTACATGTTGGCATGTACTTAACAGAATCCTTGGCAGTTGTAATTCAATGATGACTAGACAGAAACATCAGTGCTCAGGCAAAATTCACCTCCATTTTATTGCACCTGTGACCTTAGAAAAAAACCCAAACCATTGTTAGTCTTACATTGACTGATGCATTGTGTTGACAATATGCTTAAAGTGCACATAAGATGGGCTTGGAAACTTCTGGATATGTGTAGCCAATGGTTACTATATCAACTTTACGGCAAGTTCACACCAATCTGATTGAAATTAATTCAGTTATCTTCACTCAAAGTCATAAAAATAGACCTCCCTTAAAAACGACTTTGCCAATTATCGAAAACACTCTTAATCTCCTGAGACGCCAGTGACTTCACAGTGACCGAATGCATATTCCTTAATTACCTATATACAACCGGCGTGTGTACTCATTAACGCCTGACTGGTTCCTTAATCCCCCTTAGTTCCTTAATTAAATAAAACAATTGACTACGAAATAATTTGTTTTGTAATTCATTTTAATTTATGATTCAATTTAGAATTTGTTTCTCATGACAGGAATTTTAATACCCTCTTACATCGTGTACAGTCCAATTGATTAGAGATACATTTTCGTCAAAAGAGTATTGTGGTTCTAATTTCCGCGAGTAAAAAAGTACAGTGTTAAAAAGATGTGGTCATGCAAATTGTATCATAAAAGTCAAACATGATTAAAAAGCGATTTGTAAATGACGATTCATCGTATGACTGATTTGACTTCATTACTCTGAAATAGACCGTAAAAATGAAATGCGAAAAAATATCTCAATATACAGTACAAATAAATTTTGAGGGTAACCATCTAAATGGAATAACCGACAGATTGAGAAGTGTCATCTAACTATCTTTGTGTATTGATAATAATATGACAAGTAGTGTCGTTAATATCGGTCATTAATTAATCAATGCGACTAAACTTATACAGACTTGGGGGTCATTAATTAATTTACATCTCGGTGTTAGCAGTGATTGTTAGTGGGATTAAGAATGCTGATTAGGTAATTATCTTTTTTTTACGCCGGTCAGATCAAAGACATCACTCTAGGTGGAATGTGTGCGTAGTACCCACAAATGAACTAATGGTAGAATCGTACACTCACATATTAATTGTATAAAATAATTAAGTTTTACTAATAAGTTTGTTTAAAATTACTATATACCCAATAATTATTGCTCACCAGTGTTTTTGTAATCAAGTGGCCTTGTATTATTTGTTGATTGGCCTTTAAACAACATTTAAGTGATGGATGGATTAATGTTTTTGATACGATTAGGTTATAATGTCTAACATCGGTTATCTTCTTTATAATAAAAGTATATATTTTACAATTGCATTGACAGTTTAATCACTCACCAAACGGCACCAGGAACTCCACGAATGATCCCGTGCAATTTTCGCGGCGAAGTTTAACCTCATTTACGACACCCGTATGAACTAATGGTAGAATCATACACACACACACATTAATTGTATAAAATAATTAAGTTTTACTAATAAGTTTTTGTAAAATTACTATTATATACCCAATAATTATTGCTCATCGGTGTTTTTGTAATCAAGTAGCCTCGTATTATTAGTTGATTGGCGTTTAAACAACATTTAATTGATGGATGGATTAACGTTTTTGATACGATTAGGTTATAATGTCTAACATCGGTTATCTTCTTTATAATAAAAGTATTTCACAATTGCATTGACAGTTTAATCACTCACCAAACGGCACCAGGAACTCCACGAATGATCCCGTGCAATTTTCGCGGCGAAGTTTAACCTCATTTACGACACCCGTATGAACTAATGGTAGAATCATACACACACACACATTAATTGTATAAAATAATTAAGTTTTACTAATAAGTTTTTGTAAAATTACTATTATATACCCAATAATTATTGCTCACCGGTGTTTTTGTAATCAAGTAGCCTCGTATTATTAGTTGATTGGCGTTTAAACAACATTTAATTGATGGATGGATTAACGTTTTTGATACGATTAGGTTATAATGTCTAACATCGGTTATCTTCTTTATAATAAAAGTATTTCACAATTGCATTGACAGTTTCATCACTCGCCAAACGGCACCAGGAACTCCACGAATGATCCCGTGCAATTTTCGCGGCGAAGTTTAACCTCATTTACTACACCCGTAGTACATGGAACGGTACATGATAATAAGATACCAAGCGTTGATTGGCAGAGAAATGAGTTCGATCTATTGTACATGTTTTGCATAGTCATCGGAAAATTCCATATTCACTGTAGTTGTTCTTTATGTATAGAAATGGTTATTATTATTATATATAGCGAATAATGAATATATCGACAAATGACTGGGACCATTTGTATTTCTGTATTTAAGTTTGGGATATCAAGTACTACGGGGTTATCCAAATTACCGGTAAATGCGCTAATTTCTTGAGTCATCTTCATTTGACACGTGACCTATTTAAACAAAGGCAGCTTAAATTGATATTCCAATCACAAATGTCTAATCTATACCAATGAAAGACGATAATTCGGTGATTATGATTAGGCCAGTCACGTGGTAATTGGACCGTCAATAGACGCTTGTCCAGTTGCCGTGTGTATTGATAGTGCTATATTGTACAGACAGTGAGATAATGTATATCCTATGTGTAGTGCCTGTGACGTCACCAGCCAATCAACCGGATTAAGGTTGTAATTGAAAAATCGAAAAGCGTTTTGGCGTGTCGGATACTTAAACATTAACAGCGGACTTAATTTTAATCAGATTGGTGTGAACTTGCCGTAAAGTTGATATAGTAACCATGGGCTATACATAGATGCAATTTAGATTTTTGATCTTACGTGGTCTTTAACTCCATTCCTTTATGTTGGTCAAGGGGGGTTGGGTGTCCGAATGGTTAGCACGCTCACGCTGTATCATAAAGCCTGTCATTGAGTCAACTGGCGTGGTTTCGAATCCCCGGTTGTACGTGACAAGGAGTAGGGTCCTCAAATGTTGTCATGATCTGATGTTACATTAAAATTTGGGTGTTGGATGGCCGAATGGTTAGCGTGTGCACATGTTGTTGACATGATCTGATGTTACTTTAAGAATCCCAAGATTAAACCAGATTTACGATCATCCATTTGTAAAATCTTGCGTTTTGATTGTCTAATGTTGGTTACATTCAGAATTACAAGATTAGTGTGTATCTCTTAAACCAGATTTACAATTACCCATTTATTAAAAATAGTTTGTTTGCAGTGTCTCTGTATATATTGATTGTTTTTTTTTTCTTCAGGGATGGTCAGTTAAAACGAGCTAAAGTAAAAGATTCATGGAAGGAAAAACCACAGGAAGAATACAGTAAAATGTTGAAAGTGGATTAAGATTCAATCAACTTAAAACCATTATTGTTACATGTACATATAGAAATCTGGTAACCTTTATTTAGTTGTCGGAACTTACAGAGATATGCATCTGATTTAAAAGAGATACCCATCAAAAGATTTTACCACAGGCTTCTTTTGATCATATCCAGTTTATTTCATCTTTAGAGGATGATGAATGTTTACGCAATTTCAGTTCTTCATATCTTTGTAAATATTAACCATTTTTGCACTGATATTTATTTTGGGAGATTTAACTTTTACAATATTGTAGTTTGTAAGGAATTAACAATCACTCAAATATCATTCAGAGACTTTAAAAGAGTCCTCCAAATGTCATTCAGAGACTTTAAAAGAGTCCTCCAAATTCATTCAGAGACTTTAAAAGAGTCCTCCAATTGTCATTCAGAGACTTTAAAAGAGACCTCCAAATGTCATTCAGAGACTTTAAAAGATTAAGAGTCCTCCAAATGGCATTCAGAGACTTTAAAAGATTAAGAGTCCTCCAAATGACATTCAGAGACTTTAAAAGATTAAGAGTCCTCCAAATGGCATTCAGAGAATTTAAAAAGATTTAAGTGTGAATATGATTTATGGGCAATTACTGCAGGATAACAGGGATTGATTGATCAGTATTGGACCAGTTATGTAGATATTGTCAATTAGTTTAATTACGAATGACCAGGGATCTTATCCATGAAAAACTTAAACTAAAGTATTTTAGGAATTCAGCTCTTCATTGGCCTATATCTAAGATTTGTACTCTTGGGGTTTAAGTGTGCTGCTTTTTCATTGGCTAAGAGCTGAAATTGATACTAGGATTTTAAACCTCAACCAATGAAATGACTGGATCTTCAAAATATTTTAAGAATTCTGCCCTTTCATTGGCTAAGTGATAAAATTGATACTAGGATTATAAACCTCAACCAATGAAATAACTGGATCCTTAAAATATTTGAAGAATTCTGCACTTTCATTGGCTAAGAGCTAAAATTTTTATCAGGGTATTAAACCTCAACCAATGAAATGACTGGATGTTAAAAATATTTTAAACATTCTGCACATTAATTGGCCAAGAGCTAAAATTTGTACCAGGGTATTAAACCTCAAGCAATGAAATGACTGGATGTTAAATATTTTAGTTCAAGATTTCATGAACGACCCCAGGTGATGGTCTCGTGTATTATTAATCTGATCATATTTAGAATTCAACTTTCAACTGACGCTCCGTGATAATTTTTTTATGTGATTTTATTGAGGCATCGACCATTTCAGTGACTGGTCTGAAATCCTGAAATATACCTAGTCATTTTATTAATTAATAAATTTTTTTTTTATTATTATTGAACACTTTTTGATTCGCACAAATGTTCTATGTTTTACTTTTGGTTATCGCAATTATCGTCCTGTAATTAAATGTATTGTCAGATGTTACTGATGTCTGTCTGTTGAATTCTAAGTTGTGTATGGTACCTAAAATTTGAGAAGAAAAAAAGTCGATGCAACTTCTTTGTTCATGTCTGTTTAACCTCTGGTTTTCCCCGCACAGCTAAAGACCCCTATGCACATGCTAATTATTGAAATAAAGTTGAACTATATGTTAGTCGCTAAGCGACCTAGTTTGTGTTGAGTTGACGTTTAACCCTATTTTTCTCCCTCTTTCTCTCTCTCTGCACGTTGTTGGACAATGTTTGCAATGTGTCAAAGAAATATGTGCAATGTGTTGCATTGAATTTAAATTTTTTAGGCTTCAGTACATTGACAGTTTGATTACCTGGACATAAACTCTGAAAGAAGTTAGGATGATGTCCATATTGGGCCTAGGACAATTCCTTAAATAGTTTAAGCTTGATTAAATATTAAGGTGATATTCCCCATGCAACCAACTTGACAAGACTGTATAGTAGACGTAGAGTAGTTTTAATCCAGGATGCGTTTCGGGCGCTTGTCCTTTATCAACTGGTCACAAAAATAATCCTGTTATCGAGTATATATATAGACAATAGAATTATTGCACATGTGCATAACATTAGGGATTAATAATACCTACACTGGGATTATAAAAAAAATGTAGACAAATTAAAAATATATGAATTTGAAAATAATTATGAATATATAAAAAAAAAATGGATGTACAGAAAATATAATTGATAGTTTCATTCCCTGGACAAAACCCCTCAAGAATGTCATGATGTTTAGGTAACAAAGTTCGTTCAAAGAGAGGAGCGGGGTGAGGTTGGTTGGCTTTAGGTCTTAAGGTCTGTCATTGAGTTAAATGACATGGCTTTGATTCTCAGCTTGTCCGTTACAAGGAGTAGGGTCGCCTGTCCATCCCTGTGGCATTTCTCCAGGTCCTACTGTTTACTTCCCTAATTTAAACAATTTTTTTCACTCATTTGCTTGATAAGAGACGAGAGTACCCTGTTGCATGTCAATAGTTTTTTGTGTGTTATTGTTCAATTACTAAATACAACTTTTAATTGTGAATTGTGGGTGAATGTGAATTTATTGAAATGAATAAAATTTAAGAATGATTGAATATTAGTTAATTAAATGTTTAGTTTATTTTTGGTTTTATGGAATTCTCATTCCTGTCCAGTTAAACAAACTTGCGTTCCATTTTACTTTTGCAGAAATTTTTTTTTTGTTATTAAATTTAAACTTTTTAATAATTTGACCTATTTGTATTTCTAATGTATCATTTTTTTTTTTTATGTCTTTGAATTTAATTGTTGTCATGTGTTGTAATACTGGTAGGAATGGAATCCATTAAAGAATGATCTCAAATTAAAATATCTCTTGACAGCTGGAAATTCCAAACATTTCCTCATAGTAGAGAAATTTGTGATGTTTGACGTTGGAAATCGAGGGAAAGATGTTGAAATTCCTTAATCCTGGCAAAATTCTTCTCTCAACTCATTGTGAACATAACCCTAGAAATCTGTATAACCAAATATTACGTGGTTTTTTTTCAATATTATTAAATATTAGTTTAAACCATAACTGAGTTCTTTCAATATTACCAAATATTAGTTTAAACAATCACCAAGTTCTGACAATATTACCAAATATTAGTTTAAACAATAACCGAGTTCTGTCAATATGAGTAAATATTAGTTTAAACAATATACTTCGGTTCTGTCAATATTACTAAATATTAATTTAAACATTAACTGGGTTCTGTCAATATGACTAAATATTAGTTTAAACAATATACTCGGGTTCTGAGAATATGAGTAAATATTAGTTTAAACATTAACTGGGTTCTGTGAATATTACCAAATATTAGTTTAAACAATAATCCAAGTTCTGTCAATATGACTAAATATTAGTTTAAACATTAACTGAGTTCTGTCAATATGAGTAAATATTAGTTTAAACAATAATGGGTTTTGTCAATATTGCTAATAACCGAGTTCTGTCAATATCACTAAATATTAGTTTTAACAATAACCAAGTTCTGTCAATATTACTAAATAATAGTTTAAACAATAACTGTTCCTGCCATAGTTTATATGATTGGTTCTGTTGTGAGTGGTTTACTGGTAATGTTATTATTCTATAGGTTGTATGTAATTAAATAACCCAACAAACTTATTTATCAGAAGTAAATAAATATGTCAAAAATTTGGCAAGCTGGCCAAATTTTGAAGTTAAAGGTCTGGTTTGTGATTGCCAGTTTCTGAAGGTCAAATAGGACCTCATGCTCTCGTTGAATTACAAGAGCTAAAACCTTTTTTTTTTACTTAGAAGATTTGAGTAAATTTTACTGTTAGGATGTATACCATTGTATCATTTTAGATGTTTATAGAAATCAAATGAAGGATAGTCTTTATGATCAGATTGTATTTTTGTAATGAAGGTTTAGACAATAAAATTTGTTTTTTTTTGTGTTACAGACTCTTTGTGATTTATTTTTTTATGAGCTCCCACACCTCCTCTGGTTGTCAAAAATGGACTGTGGACACCTCTAAGGGGAGTTATGGTTCTTGATCACATAGAAAAATTTTGTAGAATCTAGCATTATGATCTGATTGACTTGAATTTATAGTAATCTTTATTTTTAGAGTTATTGGCTTTCACAGAGGAGTAGGGTAGTCTGTCCAACCACATTATCTTTGTAAAGCATTGAGCCCTCCACAACAAATGTCAGTCAGGTAAAAAGATGGGGTTGAAGTCCACTGGACACAAACTAGGTATTTCAGGACTAACATGGTTCAATTTGATTTCAATAATTCGCTTGCACGAAGAATAGCCATGGGAGTTAACTGCGAGAAAACCCACAAGTTGGACAGGCGACACTACAAACAGACATCAAACCATACCACTTGATCAATGAATAAATGACAGACCTTGTGACCTGAATTGCATGCCTTCAACCTTTCAGCCAACCCACCCATTGATCTGACAAGTCCCAACCCATTTTGGACCAGACAACGGGGTGTCTGGAGGGGCTACAGCATGCCATACAGGAAAATATACTGTAGTTTGTTTTAGTGAAATCTTAACTGTTCTGCTTTGAGCTAATGAACATGGGCATACACAGTACCATGGGGAATATTTTGCCCTGGCAGCGGCACTACTTACTGCCTATACTTATGTGTATACAGGACCTCTGTTTTTGTCCCAGCTAAATGACTATATGCTGTCCCTTACAAGGCCCTCTGTCCTGCTTTGCGTGGAGAAACAGTGGCCAAGTGATTAAGACACTGGCTCGCTAGCTGTCTAGTCATTCGGATGGGATGAAAAACCAAGGTCCAATGTACACATTGGTGTGCATATTAAAGACCCACTGGCAGTTGGAATCGATACAAGAGTAGGCCATAGCCCCGCTGTCGGGGCAAAACTTTCCTCAAGCACACTGTATGGCGTATGCTCATCTTCATTAGCCCAGTCGGAGCAGAACAGTAAGACTTTAAACCCAAGTTCCTGGTAAGCGAGACGTCTTGTCAGAGCCACTGCGTCTTTCTAGTCGGTAAAATCGTACAGACAACTATTCTTTCGCATTTTTTACACCAATCTTGATTTTTTTGCCTGCTCCTGTGCGGGATCTATCTGTATATGCTTAATGTAATGGAGATCCCCAGTATATGCTTAATGTAATGGAGATCCCCACAGGTCCTTGGCACCACGGCCTCAACCCAGATTAATCTGCCCCCCCCCCCTCCGTCGGACAATAAATGACAGAATTGTTTTGTCAGATTATTTAATTGATTACTATACACTAATATAACAAATGATTTCTCCACAAAATATTATCTACAAAGTCTTCATAAAATACTTTATAACTAAACACTCAACTAAATTTACATTAATTATCTTTACTCCTGTGGATGTACATTGTCTTTTGTTTGATTTCACGTCATAAGAAAAAAAATTCTGGTGAAAAAGAGTATCAAATGAACTAGAGACTTCATTTGAATAAATTTAAAAATTTTGAAAATCAATTTTTGTAAACAAATGGTAATTGAATACAAGGTAAAAGCACAATATCTAATGCCAAAAACTTTAACCTTGCATTGGATTAATAGAATGCTCTATTTTTCATTTTTGGGTTGCCTCCCTTGTTTTGAGCATAGAGGTACAAGGCATTCAAAAGTTAGAGTTTACTTACCACTTTTCACTAGGTTTATCTAGTTAATTACTTTAACTCAATAATCTAACACTGATTAAAGATGCATTATGTAAGATTTAATTCTACCTGTTACAGTTTTTTCTTTTGGCCTCAACATGTTTAAACACAATTTGCTATTAAATATCAAAAAGGAAAATCAAAACTTTGTTTATTAACGTAACAATTGTACTTGACAATAAAGACTATATTGTTAAAACTTCAAACACTCATAACTTCTCTCAAAACAAAAAGTAATTTGACTGAAATTTTCAATACATTAATTTTTTATTATCCATTGTTGAGTGACTATAGCAAAAACAATTAGCTTTTTATCTAAATCTTACATAAGGCATCTTCTAGTCTATGAATAAATAAAGTCTCTGTTTAAATAAATGGTCATAGATACAAAGTGATAATGGATATGCTTCATATAAATGCAAAGTTCATGGTTATTAAAAATCATTACTTTCAACAATTTTAAATTTATCACTACATGACCACGCAACCAATGAAATCCAGTCTTACAAATCTCACACAAACATGTATATTATGTATATATTAATTAGGCCAAAATACAAAAAATACCTGTATTTACATACGGTTACCTGACCAACCTCATTTGTTTTAGCCAAAGCCCAAAATCAACCCTGCACTTTTTTCTCTCATTTCCCTACGCTTTGGCGTAGTTTCTCAATAATTAAGCTAGAAATGCTAGGAAACAGATAATACAAACTTAAGAAAAAAAAAAAAATTAAAGGTTTTGGGACCGACCCTAAACACAGGTATTTTTTTTAGCGTGGCCTTACCTACAAGTAAATTGGAATCTAGTACAATCTATCAGAACATGCAATAACTTCAAACTACTGACATAATTCCACAATTGTTCATTATTCTCTATTCACATCGCCTCTATACAGTATTGCTGTCACTAACTAAACAATGGTCTTTATATTTACCCATGTTAATTATTTCTTAAATTCACACTTGGTCAATTTCGATACAGTATTACTGACAGTAACATATCATTAATTATCTAAATGAGCTGGAAGACGTACACAAGACTCTGAAGAGAAATGAAATGGGGTTTAACATCTTACTTTTTTGCACCAACCAGGCTAATAAAGATGGACAGATACCATAGAGTGTGCTATGAGAGAAATTTGCCTGGATAGGATGTTTCTGCATACTGTTCACTGAATATTCAGAATCAGGCATGGATCACCAAGTCTGTAGAATCAGGGCATACATACACACTAATATGAAATTCCAGTCAACAAAAATCACAAAATTACTATTATTCAAACTAGCGTGGTTGGTTGTGGACATATAATACAAATATTAAACACATTTAATAATATATATATTACAATATGATATCACATGACACCTTTCAGTCTATTTATAGAAACACACATCACATGACTAAATCACATGATCAAGTCACAACTTCCATATATGGCAATTTCTGGTCACATGATGAACAATGAGTCAATGAACAGAATTTAATTTTTATCTTCTTTCTTCTTAGCCTCCTCATCGGTTTTTGCTTCATCAGTAGACGAACTGTCGGAACTTTCTGTATTTTGTGAACTACTGCCACCCTGTGATTCACGTTCAGAAGCCATCTTAAATAAATGGAAATAAAATTTCAAATGAATGTAGATAGAAATGAAGTAGGGGTGTGTCTATTTTTCATTGAATGGTCGCTGTTCAGGCAGTAGTGGATATAGAAGCTGTGAATAGTGCGGGGCAGTTCCAAATCTAAGGCGCCATCCACAATCCCACCCCACAATGAATGTCAAAAAAATACTGGCTATAACACTTAGAGCCCAGGTAGAGAGAGAGAGAGAGAGAGAAATGGGGTTCAACGTCCACTCGACACAAACTAGGTCATTTCGGGACTAACGTATGGTTTTTAATTTTATTTCTATAATTCGCTTGCGCGTAGGGGTCTTTAGTGCTGGGAGGAAACCGGAGGACCCGGAGAAAACCCACGAGGTTGGACAGGCGGCCCTACTCCTTGTCACGTACAACCAGGGAATCGAAACCCCGCCAGTTGACTCAATGACAGACCGTATGATACAGCGCGTGCGTGCTAACCATTCAGCCATCCAACACCCCCGAGAGCCCAGGTAGAACATCGAACGTATTGCCTATATAGTTGTTCAAGATTTTATGTGCATGCGAACTCTCATCCAACATGAACAACTTGCTGTGTTACATTGTCTGGCATTCTGTTCGCTACAAATGAAAAGGGAAAAACCAGACTGGAAAATTCAGTGGAACTTTCCTGGCCAAAACCTGGACAGCACCAAGAAAACCTATGTTTAACTGGATTACCGACAACAAATTGCTTAATGATGCATCACTTAAAGATAGTTTTGCTAATTTGAAACAAAAGAATACCCCCCTCAACTCTATTTTATTTCTTGCTTACCTTCTTATAAGCCATTTCAAACAGTTTAAGTGAAGACTGTTGTAAGTCGTTTGTTCCTTCTTTAATATTTTCAATGGTTTCGTTATCTTTATTTTCTAGAAGTGTTCGAACTTTAGTAATCTTTTCTTTAATACTATCACACTGTAAATATAAATAAATAAAATAAAATGAAATGAGGTTTAACGTCCTACTGTTCTGCTTCGACTTGGCTATGAAGACGTGCAAACGCCATACAGTGTACTATGAGGGAAATTTTGCCCGAGCAGCGGCACTTTGACCTACTCTTACATTGAATTCCAACTGCCAAGGGATCTTTTACGTGTATGCAAATGTATACACAGGACCTCAGTTTTTCTTCCCATCTGTACGACTAGACAGCTGTCCTTATCAGGCTCTCCTTCCTGTATCACTGACAAAGGGGGACCCCATGCAAGAAAACCCTGAAGAACTTTCTCGGTCACTGCAGGGATCGAACACCCAACCTCCAGGTCCTACCCACTAAACCACCATGGCTCCCAACTAGATATATCAAGAAATGAAAATGGCGTTTAACGTCCACTCCACACAAACTAGGTCATTTCAGGACTAACATATATGATTCAATTTTATTTCAATAATTTGCTTGCACGTACGGGTTTTTAGCTGTGGGAGAAAACCGGAACACCTGGAGAAAACCCATGTGGTTGGACAGGCAACCCTACTCCTGGTCACGTACAACAGGGGATTCGAAACCATGCCGGTTGAGTTAATGATAGACCTTATGATACAGTGCGGACGTGCTAACCATTCGGCCATCGAAATCACGCCAGTTGACTCAATGACGGACCTTATGATACAACGGCGCACATACAACCTGGGAATCAAAACCACGCTAGCTGACTCAGTGACTAAACATTTGGCATCCTCGGAAATCAGCCAATGTTGAATAAAATATCTCGATTGGTCTCGTTTTTTTATTCAATTGAATCAAAGCCAGGAGATTATCAACAGTTGAAGAGCCCTGGGGAAGAATTTCTAAGTCACTTTTTCTACTCCAGTTAATGGCGCCATCTGGTAGCAAATTGTATAAGCTTTCTGTGGATCAATCAATTTCAGGTAAAAACGATCAGAGTCACATCGAACCAAGGCCCTTCTGAAATGGTCTCCCTGACAAATACGTCCATCATACCCTTTATTTGACCTTAATTTGGCTGAAAAGTGGAAGTCAGTTGTTGTACTGGTAATTATGATTCATGTTAAACATCATTTTGAAGTTATAATTAAACCCATGCGTTGTTCTGTTTGCGTCAAGCAGTCTCATCCAAAAGACTGTTTTACCCTTTAAGCGAAAAGACAAAAATGTGACTTAGATCGTTCTTCCCCTGGACTCTTCAGTTAATATTTGGATTTATTTTTATCATCATTAAATGCTAAATATTAAATTTGAGTACATTATAGAGTGGATTAAGCCAAGAAAAATTATATTTTGTTTGAAAAATGTGAACAATTTACCTCTTCCTTGGGGAGTTGATCTTTAAATTCCTCCATTTTACTTTCTGTGTCGTGTATGATACTATCAGCTTGATTCACTGCTTCAATAACATCCTAAAAAATTTATATAATATCATTAAATATAACTTATATAATTTCATTAAATATAACTTAAGGCAAAACGTGGGTTGATTTTTATATTTCAATTGTTATGTCCAATGTGAGATGGGTGAATATCACCAGGAGAGCAGCCTTCCCTTCTTAAATTTTCAACTGTCAAGTTTTTTTTTTTTGTTTTTTTTTTTATTATTTCGTGCATGCCAATCTCTACACGGGTGAAATCTCAATTATTCAGTTGCTGTAGGTTTAGTTTCATTTGAGACATTCTAACACAAAACCATCAACTAAACTTTGATAAGAACGCAACTTGATGTCTTATCAAATACAGGTGGATCTCAATTTATGTGACTTTACTTCCAATTTGTACTTAGACTCAACTTTTTAACACAAAAACATCATCTAAAACTTGTCAACAATTCAGAATTTTATGTATTTTTTTTTTTTTAGCCGAAAATACAGTTAATTTTTCATATAGTCAAGTGCATAATGTTAGGGAGGTGAATTTTGGCCAGGCAGCGACGCTTCTGTTTATTCTTCTTTGAATCTAAAATATCAAAGTTTCGTTTACATGCACGCTATCCAGGGAATTGAAATACCACAAACAATATAGCATTAGAATTAAATTTCTAAATATAGTCTGAATTAACTTGCCTTCTTTCGTCTGTCTTCTTCTGCGTGTGCTTCAGCATTTTTCACCATGTTTTCAATTTCTTCCTTAGATAAACCTCCAGATGACTGGATTACAACTAATAAACAAAAACAGAAATTATAGTAAATCTGATTCAAATACAAATATCTAAATACCGTTTCATCTTAATATTGTCACTTTAAATTAATCCTCACCACAATTTTTTGAAAGGTCATGTAGCATTTTAAAATATTTTTGACAGAAGTCTTGTAGCACTTCACTGTATCGTTGACAGAAGTCAATTAGCATTTTACTAGATCTTGACAGAAATGAAATGTGGTTTAACGTCCTACTGTTCTGCTCCGACTGGGCTAATGAAGACGGGCATACGCCACACAGTGTGCTATGAGGGGAATTTTGACCGGGCAGTGGCACTTTGGCCTACTCTTAAATCAAATTCGAAGGGATCTTTTACATGCACACCCATGTATACACAGGACCTTGGTTTTTTGTCCAACCAAACGACTAGACAGCTGTGCTCGTCAGGCCCTCCATCGTGCATCACTGACAAGATCTTAACAGATTATTCACCATATGTCATTAAGGTTATAATAACCCTTACTGTGTTGTTTCTGTCCTGTATGTTAAATGACTTCTGCAGCATTTCATGTTTTTGATGGGAGGCCATTTAGCATTTCACTTATTTTTTTTGATGGAGGTCATTTAGCATTCCATCATTTTTTTCATGGAGGTCATTTAGCATTCCATCATTTTTTTCATGGAGGTTATTTAGCATTTCTTGATATTTTAGATGAAGGTCATTTAGAATTTCTCCATACTTTAGATGAAGGTCATTTAGCATTTCATCATATTTTTGATGGAGGTCATTCAGCATTTCATATTTTTGATCATTTAACCACATTTTTTATGGAGGTCATTTAGCATTTCATCATATTTTTGATGGAGGTCATTTAGCATTTCACCATACTTTGGTAAGAGGACATTTAGCATTTCTCCATATTTAGATGGAGGTCATTTAGCATTCCATCATATTTTTGATGGACATTTAGCATTTCATCATATTTTTGATGGAGGTCATTTAGCATTTCACCACTTTTTTGATGGAGGTCATTTAGCATTCCTCCATATTTTTGATAGGATTCATTTAGCATTTCATCAAAGGCTATAATTATACTTACTTTGTTGTTCCCTTCCTGTACCCTTATCTCTAGCCGATACGTTGACGATTCCATTAGCATCAATATCAAACGTTACTTCTACCTGAGGTACACCTCGTGGTGCTGGAGGAATTCCAACCTGGCAAAAATAAATATATCTTAAGCACATTCTATGTCAGTGAAATAAAATTTGCATACAATAATATTTCTACACTCAGTGACAACTGAAGATTAGATGGAAAATTGCTAGTAGAATGTGATCTTGTAAAGCAAAAATGAAATGAAATGAGGTTTAACGTCCTACTGTTCTGCTCCAACTGGGCTAATGCATATGACATACAGTGTACTAAGAGGGAAATTTTACCTGGGCAGCGGCACTATGGCCTACTCTTATATCAAATTCCAACTGCCAAGGGATCTTTTACATGCATGCCAATGTATACACGAGAACTCAGTTTTTCGTGCCATCCAGAAGGACTAGACAGCTTCCCTTGTTAGGACCTCTGCTCTGCACCACTGACAAGGGGAAATCACGTCGGATTGTTGTAAAGCTAACTTCCAGTCATGATAACATACATTCAGCGATTGCTGACAAATAGGGTTTAACATCCACTTGGCACAAACTAGGTCATTTCAGGACTAACATACAGTAGAAATGTTATTTCAATAATTTGCTTCCACCTAGATGTCTTTACCCAGTTTACATTTAATCTTGTGAATCTAGCATTAATTCATTTAACATTCATTTAATATTAAAACTTAGTTTGAAAATTTGCAAAAATTATTTCAAATCGGCAAAAATAATCTAATTTGTGTCCCTGTTTCAGACCGACCATTCAATTTCGATAATGAGTGAACAATTTACAAATATTTATCTGATCACTGTTCAAAAATTAATCACTATACATCAATAATTGTGTTATTTTTTTTAACAGTGATCGAGAAATTAAACGCTTGCAAATTGGATGTTCCATTATTAAAATTGAATGGTCATCTTTAAACTGGACATGATTACAAAATGGATGATTTTTGGTGAGTTAAAATGATTTTTATATTGTGCACTACTCCTATTTATTGCCATGTTTTAATTTTCCACACTTCATAATGTTTCACTTTGTTTTATTCTCATTCCTAAAATTTGCACCTCTTTATTTTTTTATATTTTTCAACTTACCAATGAGAACTGTCCGAGGAGTTTATTATCATTGGCCATTTCACGTTCACCCTGACTAACTTTAATCTCTACCTGTGTCTGCCCATCAGCGGCAGTAGAAAATATCTAGAACAAGAAAAAAGATAAATATATTCGTTTATTAGATTACATGCTATCTTTACTTGGAAGAATAAAAAGTGGTTTTCTGCACCAAATGGGTGCCGTGAGGGAAGTTTATGCCTACCCTTAAACAAAATTCAACAGTAAAATCTTTTCTTTGCATGACTGCATCTTAATCAGACTCGACCGACAAGATGCTGTTCCTCTCTACGGTCGGAGACGTGTTAACAAAGAATCAGATAATTTCACAACAGTGGGATAATCTATTCTAAGATACATAATCACAGACATAACTACAACCCAAAGAGAGGAATGGGTTTTAACGTCTACTCGACGCAAACTAGGTCATTTTAAGACTAACACATGGTTCAATTTTATTTCAATAATTTGCTTGCACGTACGGGTTTTTAGCAGTGGGAGAAAACCGGAACACCTGGAGAAAACCCATGAGGTTGGACAGGCAACCCTACTCCTGGTCACGTACAACAGGGGATTCGAAACCATGCCAGTTGAGTTAATAATAGACCTTACAATACAGCTAGCACGTGCTAACCATTCAGCCATCCAATCCCCCCCACAACCCCAAGAGGACAAGCAATCAAAAGAATACGTGACCAGTCTCCTCTTGTTCTACATGTGGGAGAAAATGTTCGACATAAGGCCAAAGGATCCACGATCGACATGTAACTTGGTAGACTTGGACAATTTTGCAGCGTGGGCAGGACTTTAATTCTAAGATGCCGACGATGTCACCGTCCGTTCCTGGTCCATGTAATACTATCGTACTTGTTTAATTACTAACCTGACTTTTTTTGGTAGGAATAGTGGTGTTACGTTTGATAAGTTTAGTGAAGACACCACCCAATGTTTCAATACCCAGAGATAGTGGTGTAACATCCAATAATAATACATCTGTTACATCTCCAGCTAAAACACCTCCCTACACGAATAAACACAAAACATTATTTAAAATTTAGATAAATAGTTGGCCGTTCTTGCTTTAGTAGTTTAAAAATAGATAATGAAAAATGAATATTCTGACAATTTCATTCAAATTACTTTATTTTGATATGAGTGTTGGAAGCAGTGAGGGAATTTTGCCCGTATATCCCGGACATGTCCAACGCTATTTTCCAAATGTCCTAAAGTGTCTAACCAGGAATATGCCCAATCGGACATCAAGTCTTGGAAGCAGTGATGGGATTTTGCCCGTATATTCCGGACATGTCCAACGCTATTTTCCAAATGTCTTAAATTTTCCAACCAGGAATATGCCCAATTGAACATCAAGACATGGGGAATAATATTCAAAATTCCAAAATTAAAATAGTGTACTGAGTGTATATCTACTACGCAACCCGATTATCGTTGGATTGATTTAGTAATCAAGTGATGCACGTATTTACCTTGTGATACCGTCTATACATCTACCTTGATTAATTACTTAATGTGGCATAGATTTTTATCGTAGCAATGAACATTTTAGTTGAAATTCCAGACCCCTCCCCTTTCAACAACCACCTGATTGCATATGGAACGGACACGTTGATTGCTTCAGGAGAAAGTTAAGATTCAAGATGATGATAATGATAAAGAATTACTTGAACTAATGATTTAATGTTAAATTCACCTGAATAGCAGCACCAATAGCAACAGCTTCATCTGGATTGACCGACTTACTCGGTTGACGACCAAACAAATCTTGTACTGTTGATTGAACCTGAAAATATAACATAGCACGATTAAGACTGGACAATAAATCTTTCAGTATTACAAATAAAGCTGGACAATTAATCTTTCAGTAAAATATTACAATTAGGACTGGACAGTTAATCTTTCAGGATTGAAATGACACCGTTCAAGTCTCCATTTTTTTGTGTATAGTGTTGATCCTGCCTTGTGTTCCGTAGCAGAGAACATAACTGTTTGGTATCCTTTACACTATCCACTTTTAATCCAGATATGTGAGGACAAACATTGCCAAATCAACAATTCACAGAACATGAGACTTCTAGAGAATTATATGGGTTGACATGTACTGATGATTGTCAGGTTACAACTAATGATAAATTATATATTCTATTCTTAACAGTAGGAAGAAACTGTACAAACACATTAATACAATTTGATGTATTCTCTTTGTCATGCTAAACTGAACACTGTTCTTCTACTGGGCTAATGAAGGCAAGCATATGCTAGAGAGAGAGAGAGAAATGGGGTTTAACGTCCACTCGACACAAACCAGGTCATTTCAGGACTAACATATGGTTTAATTTTATTTACATAATTCGCTTGCGCGTAGGGGTCTTTAGCAGTGGGAGGAAACCGGAGGACCCGGAGAAAACCCACGAGGTTGGACAGGCGACCCTACTCCTTGCCACGTACAACCGGGGATTCGAAACCACGCCAGTCGACTCAATGACAGACTTTATGATACAGCGCGCGCACGCTAACCATTCAGCCATCCAACCCCCCCGCAAGCATATGCTATACAGTGTGCTATGAGAGAAAATTTTGCCCAGGCAGTCACTACGGCCTACTCTTATACTGAAATCAAATTACCAGGGGTTCTTTTACAAGCACACCAATGTATACATGGGGCCTTGTTTTTTTGTCCAATTCGAATGACTGAAAGCTGTCCTTGCCAGGCCCTTCGTCCTGCACCTCTATCAAGGGGAAACCAGGTTGGAAAATCCTGATAAACTTTCTCGGCCAATGTGTGCCGTGATAAAATGAAAGTTTCCTCATTCAAATATACAATCTTGTAACCGTACCTTTGGCATTCTGGTCATGCCACCAACTAATATAACTTCTCCGATATCAGACTTCTTGACTTCTGCATCTTGTAACGCTTTCTGACACGGTCCAACCGTTCTCTTTATTAAACTATCCACTAAAGATTCAAATTTTGAACGAGAAAGTTTTAAATTCATGTGTTTTGGTCCGCTGGCATCCATGGTAAGATAAGGTAGGTTAATATCAGTCTGGATAAAAAAAAAAAAGTTCATTATTATACAAACATCTCATTCAACTCTCGTTGAGAGAGAAATGGGGTTTAACCTCCACTGGACACAAACTAGGTCATTTCGGGACTAAAATATGGTTTAATCTTTTTATTTCAATAATTCGGTTGCGCGTAGGGATCTTTAGCAGTGGGAGGAAACCTGAGGACCCGAAGAAAACCCATGAGGTTCAAGCGACCAGACTCCTTGTCACATAAATCCTGGGAATCGGAACCCCGCCAGTTTACTCAATGACAGACTTTATGATACAGCGCGCACACACTAATCATTCGGCCATCCAATCCCCCTCTCTTGAGATGGAGAGAGAGAAATGAAATAAGGGTTTAATGGCCTATTTTTCTGCACCAACACTGTCATGCAGAGTGATGAGGGAATTTTGTCTACTCTCATTTCGAATTCCAACTGTAAAGGATTCTTTTACGTGCACCCAAATGCATACACAGAATCTCTTTTTTTTTGTCCCATCCATACAACTATACATTGTTCCTGGTCAGGTCCCCTGTCATGTGCTACTGATTAAGTGAGAAGTGAGAGTGTCCGATCCATAAACTATAAAAGGACAAATAAAATCATCCAATTAACTCTCAGGATCAGTAAAACAGTTGACAACTGGATGTCAGGAACTAATACAGTCCCTAACATCCAGTCTTACAACTAGAATATAATATACCACAATCGTAACACTATGTCTTGATTATCAAGTATCACAGCTGACTAGATCATGGACTGCAGAAAAATATCTGGTCTTTAGAAAATTTCCAGATTACTTATCCGCAAAAACTTTATGTGGAAATATATAAGATGTTAAATGAAATGGGGTTTAACACCCTACTGTTCTGGGCCCTTATTCACGAAAACTTAAACTAAGATAAAATCGAAATTTTAAGAAATACTGCAATTCGATTGGCTGACCAGTAAAATCAATTTGCATATATCCAATGAAGTTGCAGTATTTCTTAAAATTTCGATTTTATCTTAGTTTAAGTTTTCGTGAATAAGGGCCCTGCTGTGATTGAGCTAATGAAAACGATCATATTTCATACAGTGTGCTATGAGGGAAATTTTGCCTGGACAGTGACATATCCTACTCCTATATAGAATTCCTACTGGCGAAGGATCTTTAACATGCACGTCCATGTGTACACAGGACCCTGATTTTTCATCCCATCTGAACACCTATACATTGTTCCTTGCTAGGCTCTCTGTCCTGCAGTTTTATGAAATAACCCAACCTACCTGTAGCGATGATGAAAGTTCTATTTTAGCTTTTTCTGCAGCTTCACGTAATCTCTGCATGGCCATACTGTCTTTTGATACGTCAAGTCCTTGCTGTAAAACATATTATACATCAATACATTACAAAATATTACTATACTTGAATCCTGTGACCGTGCCTTATCTTTCTGACCTCCTCAAATATTTCAATCTGATTAAAATACAGATCTACATTATACTTTCGATGGCCTCTACTACATGAAGATCTGGCTGGTTGTTGTGGAAGGTCGCGTCAGAGGTCATACGAGTGGCTTTTGAACCTATGATTATATTTCATTTCCTTTTTTGTTATACTTTCGATGGACTTTACTACATGAAGATCTGGCTGGTTGTTGTGGAAGGTCGCGTCAGAGGTCATACGAGTGGCTTTTGAACCTATGATTATATTTCATTTCCTTTTTTGTTATACTTTCGATGGACTTTACTACATGAAGATCTGATATCTGTTGTTGTGGAAGTAAGGTCAGAAGTCATACGTGTGACTTGACCCGGTGATGTCAGACATTTGATTAACCAATCCGTGTTGATGTTAGTGGGTTACCCACAGTTCCATGCACCTCACATCAAAAACTCGCCGTAACAGTTGGCTAACCCCTTACATCATCCAGAATGCGGGTTATATAACAACTGACGATAAGAGATTTGAATCGACTTGCTATGTGTTATTCAATTTTTTTTTAAAGCACTTACATCTCGTTTAAACTCTGCAGACAAGTAATTAACCAATAAATTATCGAAATCTTCACCACCAAGGAAAGTGTCACCATTGGTCGATTTGACTTCAAATACACCTTTCTGTATCTCAAGTATAGAAATATCAAAAGTACCGCCACCTAAATCATACACAGCTATTCTAAAAAAAAATAATATACAAATAGATTTATTTAATCATATAATACCCTAGATCTTCAAATCTAGAGAGTAATCAGGAAGAAGGAGAGACAGAGTGTCAGAGAGGGTTCTGAAGAGAAAGTTTCATAGAGAGAGAGAGAGAGAGAGAGAGAGAAATGGGGTTTAACGTCCACTCGACACAAACCAGGTCATTTCGGGACTTAACACATGGTTTAATTTTATTTACATAATTCGCTTGCGCGTAGGGGTCTTTTAGCAGTGGGAGAAACCGGAGGACCCAGAGAAAACCCACGAGTTTGGACAGGCGACCCTACTCCTTGCCACGTACAACCGGGGAGTTTCATAGAGAGAGAGAGGGTTCCGAAAAGGGAGAAATAGTGTGTAACAGAGGGCTCTGAACAGAGTGTCTGAGATAGAGTGTCTGATCCATATAACACCATAGATTTAAGATCACCAATTCTAGAGAGTAATCGGAAAGGAAAGATAGTGTCAAGAGATTTCTGAAGAGTCTCAGAGAAAGAGAGAGAGAGATGAGGTTTAACACTCGACACAAACTAGGTCATTTCGGGACTAACATATGGTTTAATTTTATTTCAATAATTCGCTTGCGCGTACATGTAGGGGTCTTTAGCTGTGGGAGGAAACCGGAGGACCCGGAGAAAACCCACGAGGTTGGACAGGCGACCCTACTCCTTGTCACTTACAACCGGGGAGAGAGAGAGAGAGGGTTCCGAAGAGGGAGAAAGTGTGTTACAGAGGGCTCTGAACAGAGTGTCAGAGATAGAGTGTCAGAGAGAGAGAGAGTGTCCGATCCATAAACTATAAAAGGACAAATAAAATCATCCAATTAACTCTCAGGATCAGTAAAACAGTTGACAACTGGATGTCAGAAACTAATACAGACCCTAACATCCAGTCTCACAACTAGAATATAATATACCACAATCGTAACACTGTGTCTTGATTATCAAGTAACAGCTGACTGGATCATGGACGGCAGTAGAAATGAAATGGGGTTTAACGTCCTACTGGTCTGCTCCTATGCTGGGCTAATGAAGACGGGCATACGCCATACAGTGTGCTATGAGGGAAATTTTGCCCGGGCAGCGGCACTATCCCCTACTATTGTCGAATTCCAACTGCCAAGCGATCTTTTTATGTGCATTCTAATGTATACACGGGACCTCGGTTTTCCGTCTCATCCGAAGGACTAGACAGCTGTCCTTGTCAGGCCCTCCGTCCTGAATCACTGACAAGGGGGGACGGCAGTAGACATATCGATGAAAATTATAGACGTGTTACAAGGTTGAATCAAACATTTATAGACACTTTCCGCGAAAAGTATTTATCCGGTGGTTATTTCCAATAAAAGTATGTCAAATTTGGTATATATGGAAAGTATAGACACCCAATCTCACTAGAAAAATACTGGATTACCCGAAAAACACCCATGGGGCAAGCACTGGTCAAAATTGTCAAGGTATAATTAACTGGCGACCCGACTGTTATCTGCCAGCTTATTGTGTGTTGTCAAGTAGCGCTTCAGCTAATTTACTTGACACAAACATGACCTCTTTTTAATAGATTTTTATAGCAGGGGTATTACCCCTTGAATACAATGTATTGAGAAGTATTTGAAGCAAACTTTTGATGGATTAATTAGTTTGTTTAGTCCAAGTATATCATCAAATCAAGTTTGTACGTGGGGAGGTACCTTTAAATAAAACAGGATTGAAATATAAAGAGTTACCAAACTTACAATTTGTCTTCTGATTTGTCTATTCCGTACGCCAAGGCAGCAGCTGTTGGTTCATTTATAACACGTAAAACATTTAACCCGGATATCTGACCCGCATCTTTAGTAGCCTGAGAAAACATAAAAATATCTTTAAATTAGAATATCGGACGAGCCCCGCAAATTTACCTGATCAAAACATAACATTTACTTTATATTAATAACATTATTGCACCTGCCCAAAATACATCGAACATAAAACTATGTGTGGTAACAATCTAACTTGCTATTCCATTTCCCTCCTTAATTCAGATCCTATCACAAATTGTGGTTCCAGATCTCAACTTGCTGTGCGATTTCCCTCCCCTGTTCGTTCTGAGTCAACTCAAGTACATACCCCTTCATACGGTTTCAGATCTAAATTTGTATGCCATTTACCTTCCCCGTTGAGTCATTTCACTGGTAATGAGTTTGTTAGATCCATATGCAACAAAAGGAAAAATAAAATCGTCCAATTGGCTCGCAGGATCAGTAAACAGTTGACAACTGGTTGTCAGTAACTAACACAGCTCCTAACATCCAGTTTTACAACTAGAATATAATATACCACAATCGTAACACTGTGTCTTGATTATCAAGTAACAGCTGACTGGATCATGGAAAGTCATCTTAAGGCCGTCGTTCGCACTTCATTTGGTGAATTTTAACAATAAAATCGTTTTTGAGGTTTTATGATTATCTGTGAGTAACACTATCTAGGAACACATACCAGTCATTTTTTTCACAAAATTCTTCTTTATTTCTACAAAATTTGGTTCTGAATGATCCCACCCTTTTTTATTTTGCCCTAATTCCGCTAAAACTATTGATATAAATCTAAAAACAATAGGCATTTCATACGTGAAATACTTGGCTTCCGACCGGTAAACTGTCGCCATGTTGGATACTGTTAGAAAGCTTGGGATTTCCCCTATTGAAAGGAAATGACGTTTTTTGGGGGTGTCTTGAAACCTTTCTTCTGTATTGAGATAAAAATAGCAAGCAAGAACAAGATTTGCATACCTAATGAGGTTATTTCAAGATTACGTTATTTGATTGGTCGGTCACATAGGTCAATGGTGAAGTGTCCAATCAGAAGCGGGCAATCCTCTAGGTCAGGTCAATAGGCATGCGCACTAAGCTCAGGTCCCAAATCAATCCTGGTTGCTATATTGCTGAACCGTACGTCACTGTTTATCAATATTTTTGAAGATTTTCAAATAAAATGCGTTTGAAATTGTTTAGATGACTAAATAAGTATGACAGACACTCATAATAAACAAAATGAAGATGAATATTCGTCTGCTAGACCTAGTAGTGGTATGGTTGCAATACCATTACCAGGTAGGCCTGCTGTCAGTGATTATTATAGTTATGGTTGTTTTGAATAACATCTATTCCTATGCCAATGTTCGGTTGTAAATTTACACACAAGAAATAAAATAAGAAAATACTGTATATTGATAAGAAAAACATTAGAAAATATATATATTAAAAGTCAGTTTTTTAATATTAAATAAATGAATTGAACAGATCGGCGTAAGTTGTTCTACTGAAATACTTCAACTTCAGTTGTTGATTTCTCAAAACAGTTTTTTTCTACAGTTACCAATTTTAGTCATGCTATATCTCTGGAAATTATCGTCAGATTTTCTTGAAACTTGGAATATAATTTTCTATATAATAACTTTGTGCAATAGGAGAATTTTATTGAAATCTGCAAAATAGTTCCTGATATATTGTTGCCATAGCAACTGTGACACGTGAAAGAATTTTGAAGTTAACATTAAAATGTGTATAACTTGCTTTCTAATTATTATTTTGTAATGAAACTTGCCTATTGCACAAAGGAACATGTCAGTAACCTCTCTGCTTAATTTTAAAACATTCTGTTGAATAGTTTCTGAGAAACTGGATGACTAAAATTATATGCAGAAATCCAAGATGGCCGCCGTTTCCATAGCAACATGTACCCCCAGGAAAATTTTTCGGCCGTTTTTGTAATATTCAATGGATGTGTTCTTAGATGTGTAAGAATGGTGACTTTACCTCAATTATTAAAAAAACTGAAATTTTCTACTGTCCACCCCCTTAATGTGTATCTCATTCCAGTATTGAAACTGAAAAGGGGTGGGGTAGGGGATGGAACGTTCTACAGCTCTTTACCGACTGGGCTAATGGAGACGGACATACACCAAACATGTATATCAATGTTCCAACTGTCAATCTTTGTTTGACGTTATGCCAGTTTACACGACAAGTTTGGTCACTGTTAAAACATTCGGCATTCATCACAGACAATATATGTATATACAGTGATCGAACACAGGACCTCAAGGTCAGCAAGCCAACATCTTACTCACTAAGTCCCCGTTGCTCAATGTACTATGAATTATGTTAGTATTAGGGGATGGAGAGAGAGAGAGAAATGTGGTCTAACTTCCACTCAACACAAACTAGGTCATTTCGGGAATAAAAAATGGTTCAATTTTATTTCAATAATTCGCTTGCAGTGGGAGGAAACCAGAGATCCCAGAGAAATTCCACGAGGTTAGTCAGCCGACCCTACTCCTTATCAGGTTAGTATTAGGAAATATAAAGCACACTATTACCTGTCTCTGAGAATCATTAGGAAATAGAAGTACATTATCTTACCTGTCTCTGTGAATCATTAAAATAAGCTGGAACAGTGACCACAGCATTCTTTATATTACTACCCAAATAACTCTCTGAAAAATATAGATATACAGTATATATTACTACCCAAATAATTCATTACAAAATATACATATACTTTTTACTACTAGCCAGATAACTCACTACAAAATAGAGACAAGACACTTTATATTAGTCAAAATATAGATATACACTTTACAACCACCACTCAAATAACTCACTACAAAATATAGACATACACTTTACTACTAACACCAAATAACTCACAATAACCAGTGTATGTTAATAACAGGACAATTGCCTACACATGAACAGTTCATATGGGCGGATTATCTGACGGCCCCATTTCACTAGCAAAAAGATACACTGTCAAAAGTGAAAATGGGCGTTTTTGATTTTTGTCTTAATGAGTAATTGCTCCACCAATCCTCAGACATTCAGCAATTCATTGTGGCATGCTCCTTATCAACCGCCCAATCTCGATTTGGGGCAATCTGACCCACTCCTCGCGCAGTGCCACGGCCAATTCTTGCAGTGTTGTCAGTTGACGTTGACAAACACGTCTCCCGATCAAATTAAATGTAACACACTAAAGCAAAGATACACTAAACAGTAAATCTTATGCAAGAACCGATAGGTAAGCAAACATGGATAGGATAAACCAGCAAGCGGTAGTTTTCACCAACCCTTCCTTGAAGTGTCAAATTTGAAAATGAATCCCTCCCATGTGTATGGCGCAAGTGCAGCTCAGTGGTTCTGTTGGGGCAATAAGTTCTTCATCTGTGAACATACTCTCAAAGCAAGTCAAGTTTATCATATCACAAACTAAATAGGTGTATGCATTTTAATATCCCCTACTTTTTTTTGAAGAGTATATTATTCCTAATTAATAAAGCTTTTACCCACCTGCAGTTTCCTTCATCTTCATAAGAACAAAAGCCCCAATCTGAGATGGGGAATAAACTTTACCATTAGATTCTAACCAAGCATCTCCGTTGGATGCCTTTACAATTTTATAAGAGACATTCTTCCTAAAAATACATAATTCAAGAACTTCATTATATATGGAATTTCAGATATAAAATTTACTTAAAGATACATTATGGGAGATAAGATAAAGAGATGGCAGTTCTCGCTATAATAGTTAAAAACTAGATAGTGTAAAGGTAATTTGCTGAAAATTTCAGTCAAATTGATCCACTATGAGCTAAGAAAGAAGCCGGTGAAATTTTTGCATAGTCTCGGTTATCATTACTAAAATCATTAATATAAACAGCATAGTCTCGATTATCCACTTTTTCTGATTTAATTATCTTTGGCCGTTAGCGGCATATAGGAATCTAATCCAGCCTACATCGAAGGCTAGCCCTGACATCGAGAGTTTATTATGGTCTGGATAAGTTAATTAATGTCTAATTGATAATTTAGATAACATTTCAGGCCTAAAGAAAGATTTGTAATAAGCAGATTTTGCTCTTGCATAATGCATGTTTAAGTGTAAATTAATCACTTTTGAAAAAAAACAAAAAACGTGTCCTTTAACAATTAGGAGTGACGGGAATCTAGCATGGATTTCAGAAACAAAATGAGGTTAAACTTCCTACTTTGCCACAATGCCTGGGCTAATGCAGACAGGTGGATTTCTGGATTTTGCAATGGATTTTAGAATAAAAAGGGGTCCAACTGCATCAACCGCCATATTGAAGAAGGCATGTGATAGAGGGTTTCTGTGGTCGAAAATGTGGTCGACTGACGGACAAACAGTTATAAAAATATACTAACATGTCCTTCTGTACTTCTGGATCGGTAAATTTACGACCAATTAATCTTTTAGTAGCGGAGAAAGTATTAGCAGCATTAGTGACAGCTTGTCGTTTGGCTGGCATTCCAGCCAATCGCTCTCCATCTTTTGTAAATGCAATTACTGAAGGTGTAGTTCTTGCTCCTGGAGTAAAAAAGTTTCTGAACTTAGTAAAAAGGGAGAAACAGGGTTTTATGTCCATTCAACACAAACTAGGTCATTTCGAAACTACAATATGGTTGAATTCTATTTAAAAAATTTTCTTGCATGTTGGGGTCTTTTCACAGATGGTCGAAACTGGACGACTCAGAGAAAACACCACAAAGGTAGCAGCCAGTCAGTAGAGTGTGGGGTCTTTACATGTGGGAGGAAACGAAAAAAAAACCCACGAGGTTGGAAATTAGTTAATAATACACATTATATTAAAAACAGTTCAATATTATTGTACTTGAATTGGAATAGTCTTTTCCAGTTCATCTGAAACACTCTGATTGGAAGAGAAGAGAAATGAATTGGTTTTTAATGTCCTACTGTTCTGCTCCGACTGGGCATATGTCATACAATTTGCTATGAGGGAAATTCATTTTTAGCAGTGTCGCTCCAAGAAGAGAGAGAGTAATGGGGTTTAATGTCCAATTGACATAAACTAGGTCATTTCGGGACTAACACATGGTTCAATTTTATTTCAATAATTCGCTTGCCTGTAGGGGTCTTTTTAGCAGTGGGAGGAAACCGGAGGACCCGGAGAAAACGAACGAGGTTGGACAGACGACCTTACTCCTTGTCAAGTACAACAGGGGAATAGAAACCCTGCCAGTTGACTCAATGACAGACTATGATACAGTGCGCATGTGCTAACCATTGAGTCATCCAGCCCCACCCCCCACAATCCGGTCTGGTTGAATAAGTCATCTAACCGTTAAAATCTAACCAACAGCAGCATATTTAGAGAATTGAAGTTTAATGTCATACTGCTCCGACTGGGCTAATAAAGATGCATGCGTATCTAACGATCAAAGCAATTGTTGTATCTCTTACCTTCTGAGTTTTCGAGAACTTTCGGGGTTTTTCCTTCCATGAGAGCCACACAGGAGTTAGTAGTACCCAAATCTATACCGATCACATGACCTTTCACCTTATCGGACCTGGAATAAGAAACATTAATTCATATATTTTTTTAATCTTTAAACAAGTCGAGGCAGTGGCTGTATCATTCGATGTTCAGTATTATCACGGCAAGTGGTGTGTGTGGTGAGGGTGTGTGTGTTGTAGTGTCGTCGTTTTGATTACCCACTGGTACATGACAAGGATTAGAGTTGCCTGTCCAACCTTGTTGGGTTTCTCCAGGTCCTCCAGCTTCCTCCCTATGTGCAATAGAATTATTGAAATAAAATCGAATCATGTTCTGGTCCCGAAATGATCTGGTTTGGTTGTATTGAGTGAAAATTAACCCCTATTTCTCTTTCTCTAGACTGATCATTTTCAATGATGATTATGTACAAGAGTAGAAGACTAAATAATTTGGGACCTGTAGGACTATTTAACGATGGCTTAAAAATAAGTGGTGAGCGAGAAAGAAATGGAAATCAACGCCTACCCAACGTAAACTAGGTCACTTCAGAACTAATATTTGGTTTATTATAATTTTTTTATAGGGGTCTATTCGCAGTTGGAGGAAACTGGAGGACTCTGAGAAAACTCAACAAGGTTGGACAGACGACCATACTCCTTGTCACATACAAACAGTAATTGAAACCCTGCCACTTAACTCAATGACAGACTGTATGATGCAACGCAAACTTAGCAGCTGGAGGAAACCGGAGGACACAGAGAAAACACATGGGGTTTGACACTTACAAGCTGTGAATCGAAACCATGTTGAGTTTACCAAATGACAGACCTCACCCATGTAACGTGCATGCATTAGATTATTCAGTTACCAAAACCCCCAAAAATTGAGTGGTAGATTCTGATTTCTTGCCAATTAGCGAAAAGTACATGTACCCACCCTTTTTTAGCTCTATTTTTCAAACTTACAAATATACAGTTGACTTAATTCCGACATTGTATGTGATCGTTACAATATGTCGGAATACTCAATTGCCTCGATACCAGAAGTATTATCACATGCTTTATTATACAGCGCACCAGTGGGTATCTAACAAATGTAATGTTTTGTTTTTTTTAGAAGAAGTTTTACTTCATCTCGGTAATTCATGTATAATGTCGCTGTATTTGATGTGAGAAAATGATGACAGACTTCACAGAATGCCGTAGTATTCAGGTGGTGGAAGTGACAAGAGTCCACTAGGGTTTTAAGTGTTATCTACTGTACCTGAATCTTTTGTGAACCCATCCATGTTCTCCCAGTAAATTCTTATAAACTGGATTCTGAAAAAAAAAACCCAACCCAGAAATTTGAGTAAAGCAAAAAAAAAAAAAAAATTACCATGAAGAAATTAGTGGAGGATCATGTTTTTAGTTTGTATAGAACTAATTTAAATAATAAATAATGTGACCACATAATTAAAATCTTAAGTTTTGCTTCTTGTAGAGTATGGGCAGCAGCACGATTTACCCAAAATCCACCATCATTTCAAATCATAATAATTCATATTTGATATCACACTGCTACTTGATGCCAAATTGTCACTTATAATTTAAATTCATATGGTTTTTGTTTCAAATGTCCTTCAAAATGCAATTTCCAAACAAGCAATTTCTTGCAATACATGAGTTATGTCCCTTTGTTACAACTTCCAAATTTGCTTAGAAGTTAGAGAAATTGTGACACAAAATGCCACAATTTTCAATTAAAATTGACCATTTAGTATAAAGAACAGTATATTATCAAATATCGATATAAATTTTTGTGACATGAGTTAAGTTTCATGGTGGATTTGGTTACAATACAACTTCCAAACTTGACTGGAACTCTCATTTTGACGGGCATTTCTGATTTTGACACAAAAACATTATGATTGCAAGCTAAAAATGACAATTTGGGATAAATAACGGTATATTATCAAATATCGATATAAATTATTGTCTTATGAGATGAAATAAGGGTGGATTTGGGTGAAATCGTGCTACAGTAGTCAGGTTATGATTTCGACTACTGTTTTAAAATTTCACTTTAACCCAGACCACTTTACAAGTAGCCTAAACTGAGGTAGTGAATACGTTTCTAGTTACATTGGTAAATGTCTTGGTTCTTAAATTATGTAACTACAAAACTAGATTCAGGTGATGTCTGGGCTCTGGCGTAGTTCAGTTGTAGTTTTGCACGATGATGAAATGAATGTCTAATTCATTAAAAAAAATTTTTTTATCTATTTCCCGATGAAAAAATAAACAAATAGATATACATCTCATCGGTAATTAAATAAATGAATATTTTAATCATCTTTGAAAGACAAAAAATGTGAATGATCTAAACCGGTTTCCGATAATAATTTCATCAGTTCTTGCTGCTGTCGATCAGTGTCTGCTTGTGTTGTATAACGACCCAGCCGATTTACGCATCACTTCAAAGTCATTCAAGTTTTTGCATATTTATCTCACCTTTAGCAATTCTGATAGCTGTTTTCCTTGGATTAGAACCACGCTTTTCTTCAGGCATTGCCCTGTAATGTTTTTTGCTGCCAACATTTTGAGTTTCAATGAATTTTTTAAAAAGAAATACTAAGGTGCCCTTTCCCCGCACGTGTGTGATGCAAACCTTGACTCTATTGCGCTTGCGTTGGTTGATTCCCATTTCGTCATTTCCGGTTGAATCGGGAATATTCTAAAAGGGAGGCAACTCTATGTATTAATAAAAAGGTTTCAGACTAGTAATTCTCTCTCCAATGTTAAACATAAAATAAAACCAAGTACGAACAATCCAAACCATAAGACAGAATTCGAAGTCCTAAAAAACGTTATAGGCAAAATAGTGTATTCAAGCAAAATAGTGTAATCAGCAAATGGACTGCTCCTCGTGTACAAAATACACGACAAACAGTGGTAACAGGTGTCCGGAAGAGTAAGCTTGATTGGCCAATGAACTATCGGTATGCAAAATGCACGCGATGAACTGTGTTAACGATGTAGTAGACATTATCAGGGAGATAGTAATAGTTTACGTGTCAATTAAATATATCTAGAATAATAGCCGAGAGAGACACGTTATATTTACCAATCAAATCAATATGACGGCCATAAAACTTTTTAAAGGTTTTAATAAGTTTAGTGCGCAAGTATCCTTGTAGTTGAAGCTTAGATGACAAATGCCTCGATCTACTTACGTTCCGCATATTCCCGAAGCAATGGCCCGAGAAACCCCTCTCTGGCCATTGCTAGATTGGCTTCTGATACTTGAGCTTTTGAGGGAGTTTGTCTATTCTTCCCGTTCAATCAAATCTATCCCAAGTACAGCAACATGACAGCCCTTCGTTTAATCTGGATCTTCCCTAAAACTTTGGACAGTGATTTAAGGTATTAAAAACGGTGAAAGTATGTTCGTCTCCAAACAGTATTGTTTACATTGTTTTTGATTTGACAGCCTTGTTTGTCATGCAATTAGTTTTTCTGCAATAATCTGCTATGCACTGGTTAATTGGACATGATAAAATCGTGCGTCATGACGTAACGTTAAGTAGCCTAAACATATTTGGTCCAATTTGGAGCTCTGTTTTAAGCGTAATGCTTTTGTAACCCAATTAGCTATAGGTTGTTAATCGGACCATTGACCAGTCATAATTTGGAACAGAAATTTGCCTTCTTTAAAGCAGTGTTTAGTGGGATTAGGTATAATCAAACGAAACACTGCGAGGAGTATGGACGTTCCGTGGCCGTAACAATAAACAACATATTTTTAGAATTCCGATGAATTTTAGAACTACAAACGTAACATTTCAGACAAGGGGAAACCACGCTGGAAAATCTGGATGAACTTTCTCGGCTAATGCAGGGATCGAACACCACACCTCAAAGCTATCGAGCCAGCGTCTTACCCACTTAGCCACTGTAAGCCCCATGGTGTATTAACACTATACGTACCGTGAGCCTGTTGGAGATTAGGGGGATCACGGTGTTTAAGTGGGTAAGACGATGGCTCGCTATCCTTGAGGTCGGGTGTTCGATCTCTCTATTGGCCGAGAAAGTTCATTCAGATTTTCCGGCGTGGTTTCCCCTTGTCAGTGATGCAGGATGGAGGGCTTGACAACGACAGCTGTCTAGTCGTTCGGATGGGACGAAAACCCGAGGTCTCGTGTACACATTGGCGTGCACGTAAAAGATCTCTTGGCAGTAATTGGAATCAGATATAAGAGTAGGCTGTAGCGCCGCTGCCCTGGCAAAATTTCCCTCACACTGTATGGCGTATGCCCGTCTTCATTAGCCCAGGTTAGGAACAGAACTGTAGGACGTTAAACCCCATTTCATTTCATTTCTGTTGGAGATTAACCGATCTGGGAATAGTAGGACGCTACAGCACATTTAATTTCATTTCTTTAGGAGATTAGCATTTTTATTCATTAATTTGTTTGTTTCGCATCAATCATTATTAAACATTTTTAAAGATATAATGCCTGGACTCTAAGTCTAACCCCCTGACATGCCAACACGTGCCCTACTTTAAAGACATCAACGGCTGTTTTCAAACAAACCAAACGATTGAGGGTCCTGCTGCACACTATCTTCTAAGAGCTGAATCAAAAGTTTTGATTCTGAAAAGGATTGGATGGCAACAAACTTTTGACAACACGGTCTCTACTTTAGGGGATGCTGGCCTTTCTTTTCCACGGTAAAGAAGTGGGCTGCGGAATTTAACCATGACAGAGAGAGCCATGACAATGACCCGCGCCCTGGAAGGCCATCAATATCAACCATGACATGACATGGTAATGGCTGATCGACGATTGACAAAGGCATCTCTTGCGCGTAGGGATCTTTAGCAGTGGGAGGAAACCGCGGAAAATACGAGGTTGGACAGGCGACCCTACTCCTTGTCACATAAAACCGGGGAATCGAAACCCCGTCAGTTGACTCAATGACAGGCCGTAATGATAAACAAACAAAAACTTTATCATATTTATTAAGATTGTTATCGAAAAACATAAAAACATAAAAGTTCAATATTAAACGTTGCAGATGACAAATCAGAAGATTGCTATGAAATGAATGAATTAAAAATGATGTGATGGTAGAACAGATTTATTTAACAAATATTTTAGAATGATGAATAAACATTCTGATAAAATAAGTTTTCTATAAGTTTTACTTCCAGTAAATGAATTTATATGGAGGTATTTTAAATTCTGTCGACAAATAAATATTACATACTGAACAGGTCTAGTCTATGATTATAAACAAGTCTGAAGGTAGATTTTAATCTATCTATAAATAGAGGACAAAGAATGATCGATCGTACGTTTTAAAGATAACTTTTATTTGAGCTCAAACAATTCAGAATTACCTATCTACAAATAGAGAATAAAGAATAAAAAGTTAATTTTGTTTCATAGTTACGCTATAAATTTCTATATATGCATATTAATATTATTAGAGGTCAATCAATTCAGAATAAAAATAGCTGTGACAAAAGCAGTTAGGCATAACATTTCCGGTTGAGAGGAAAAAATTCCTAAAGAAACCTAAAGAAATAGAATTACCTTGCATCATCTGGAAATTTTAGCTAAAACACTGGGTTAGATAATTGTTAAAGAGCGTTCTTTTAGAGCGTGGTAGGGGTCAGGGGCGTCGTGACCTATGTTTTGCATGAAGAACAAGATCCCGTCCGGGTCCCCAAAATAGAATATTTATGTGTGTGTGCTGGGAAGGGGGGAGAAGGGGTCCCCCCAGTGCCGCCTTGTATTAATGAGCTGTGTGGAACATGCTAGAGTCGATTTGTAACATATCGGACCCACGGTAGATGTTTGACATTGGTTAAGCATTATGGTTATAATTATAATCTTGAAAACCACATTGAAAGTGTGTGATTTTTTCGCCATTTGCGCGGAGGCGCAAACCCCAAGGGAGAACAAAATCTCAAAAACATGATACAAATTTGTAATTGTGTCCCTTTCACGTAGTCCCTGTAAGGGTTTAGGTCGCCGAATGGTTTAATGCTTTATATCATGTGACGTGGTTTCGATTCCAAGCGTGCGCCAATAAATGAAAGTTAAACGGAAAGATTTCACACATCCGTCTCAGTTGTAGACATATTGTCCAGACACAAAGTGATTTCTAATCAAGAAGTTCGCATCTAACGTCAGAGGACAGCCGGAAACCACATCACACATATTCAGAAACATGCAGTTCTTTGCGACTAACAGTGTTCCAAGAATCTCCCACACAATATGTTGAACTGAGAATCAAGAACTAAGAGTTAAGAACACTGAATAAAGAGCCGTTTGATCTTCCATAATCTAACGTCAGGGAACAGCTTGAAACTACATCACATATCTTCAGATAGTTCATTAAGTGTCTAAAAGTTTTTCAAGAATCGTCCACACAAAATCTTGAACTGAGAATCAAGAACTAAGAGTTAAGAACACTGAATAAAGAGCCGTTTGATCTTCCATAATCTAACGTCAGGGAACAGCTTGAAACTACATCACATATCTTCAGATAGTTCCTTAAGTGTCTAAACGTTTTTCAAGAATCGTGCACACAAAATGTTGAACTGAGAATCAAGAACTACGAATTAAGAACACTGAATAAAGAGCTGTTTGGTCTTCTATAATCTAACGTCAGCGGACAGCTGGAAAAGTACATCAAATATCTTCAGATAGACTTGAATAAAGTGTTCCAGGAGTCGTCCACACCAAATGTTGATAGTTTTATTCTCTGTATCATATCTGACATCCACAGATTAAGATATGTCTTCGTCCTTACATATTTTGATGACGTCTCTTCCGCACCGAACACACGTCGGTAAATCTACAGCAATGATTAAAAGAAACGGGATTATCAGGAAAACTATTCCCATGTAACCAATAGCAACAGAACTGGGTCGTTTATCTTGTGCACTTACTTTTTTCTGAACGACAGCAGATATGTTTTTCTTGTCAACCGTTAACTTGTCCACGATACTTTTTACTGCCGCTTGCTCTGCTACGGGATCAGGGGTCACAACGATGACGTCACGACACACCAATGTTCTCATAATCCCGTCGGAACCAATAGTGCCTTTAATCCCAGTTGGACTTGAAGAAATTATCTCATTAACTTCAGAAGAATTGAACGATGGCTGTATGGTTGCGTCGATAGCTGGGGCCATCCCTGAAGAGTACAGAACTGTCGACGAAGACGATCCAGTGACGTCAACGGTTACGGTTTCACAAGATTGGGTCTGTGTTTCTGTTACCGTGGAAACATCAAATGAGGAAGAACCAGTCCCTGTAGATAACGTAGCCGTTGACGTTTCTGTAATGGTACGTGTGACCGTTATCGTAGATGACACTGAAATATCAGATAAGCCTGTACATAAATAAAATTGGGTTATGCGTCCTGCTTTTCTGCTCAATCGGGGCTAATGAAGGCAGTCATACGCCAAGCCCCTCCTCCGCCTGTCCTGCACCCCTGCAAGGGGTAACCACGCCTAATGTTCACGACCAACACCGGGTCAGAATCATCACATACTACATCATATATGTCCCACTGTAAATTGTATTCTCTACAATAAACAACTACATCATGTGTCTCACTGTCTATTACACAAAACGCACATATCAATAGAAATACATTACATATATATTTAACTGTC